GCTGCGCCACTGGTGTCAGAGACGGGATTCTGCTCGTCCCTATCATTCTCTCCGAATTCTCTCATTCTCTCCAGCACTTTCATCTCGTCCCGTAATCCATTCATGTTTCCCTCCCAAATAGCCCCAACAGATGTGAGTACTTTTTCAAGATATATTCAGCCAAAACGAAGGAAGAGAAACTAGCAGTGAAACGACAGAGTTTTCAAAGATAAGCAAAGCAAGACTTAAACTAGCCATAAACCATAGTGAACTGAGCCGATCCCCAAAACAGAGTGCCAGATTACCTATGTCAACTTTAAACTAAATAGCTACTACGTAAAGTGCCGTCCTTTGAGCCTGCAACTGAATATTAGACAACCGGCTGGAGTAACCGAGACGAACGTAGCTGAGCATCACACGCATTTTGAAGAAAGTTCTACCGCCTTTCGCGTAATGAAGGCCAAAATTCGTCCCAATGCAATGATCCGTCACTCTGATGCGCCCGGGCGCTCACATTTACACTCACGCACGCACACATTCAAAGCCAGTCCTACCCCGCTTTAGACAAGATTGCAGATTTAAGTCTGTTAAAGGGATTATCAGGGTTTAAAAATTGAAAGGAATCGGCATAAATTTCCAATCATTGAACTCCCCAGACTCTGCCGATTCTAAAGATATGCATAAAATGTAAATCGGTACCAAAATTTGCGAGATATAGCCGTTTCAAAATTGACAAAATTGTACTTACTCACGCAAAACAAGTACTTGGGCGGCCAAGTTGGCCCATCGCTAAAATGTAAACAAAGAGCAGCCTTGGGAAATTTCGCCAAGGCCGCCGCACCGCACTGGCGATTTCCACAAGACTGTTTTGTTTTTGTCTGTTGTTTTTAGGGCCTTGCAACAAGATTTCAGTGCTTGGCATTGGATTTGGATATGAACAAATTGAAGATTTGCTTTTCAATAAGACAGCAAGAGTTATCAACATTGCCAAAATTATTATATGGGTGTGATTTGAATAGCTTGTTTGCTGATCATCAAAATCTTGATGTTAATATCATTTAAATGTCAACAATTTTCAAGGGTAAATTTGAGTGTTTTATTTCAATAAATTGAAATGTAAGTGCATCAGGCACAAGAGCTAAGTTTCAATCTGATTATTTTGTCAAGAGTGGTGAATCTAATGTAACGTCTTGCGAGAAAGCTTACCTAAGTGACTGAAGAAAGCGCTACAGTTTTTCAAAATCAATGTTGATCTGTTTTTTCGAACAACAGGTTGTACAACATGATGTGACATGACCTCTGTGCCCTGTACGTCACCCCTGCTGCTGCAGCAGAGCCCCGGCTTCAACTATAGTTTGTTATGGGTGGGCTCTCCGTGAACGTCTTGGTGCGTTTCTACATATTGTTGCTGTGAAAGGACTGTACATGAAAAAAATATGTAACTTGTATGTTTTTTATTGCCCTGGTACCTACCTAATGTATATTTTTGTTGTTTATGAGTGATAAATGAATATATTTTGAGGAAAATTGAGTCATTTCAGTTTTAGTTTGTGGAACAGAACAGAAGAAGCTGCTGAGTGTGGATCATGCTTCAATTGAGAGAATCATCCTCAGTTATATACATATAAGCATGCTTTGTAAGCTCCTTGCATTTTGCCAGCTTCTACTTGCTAGTCAAAGTTGTAAGAAGGGTTAGGGAGAACAATTGGTACACATGCCACCATGTGCAATCACCAAACGAATGAACGTGAGGGCCAAGTCCTTCACACAGCATGGATACTTATAGGTACTGCACTAATGTATAATGTTCATTATGTTCATATTAGCAACTCACCCAGGCAGCCTGCCTTGTGGTATTTCTGAGTTTAAGATTTTGCAAGACTCACACTAATCAATAAGGTAAATTATATTGATATGTATGGATGAACAATGTGCAAAGGGGTCGCACGTGCCTGCTCAGTGCTCAGCCATGGATGCACGTGCCTTCTCAACAATGGTCGTGCTTGCAGACATCTCCATGGACGAACAATGTGCAAAGGGGGGGGGCGGGGGGGGGGGCGTGCCTCCGCGGCCGCCTGTTGGCTCAGCCGCTGCTGCTGCTTGGCGCCGCTGCTGAGCGCTGCCGGAGACGCCGCTCGCTGCCGGAGCTGCCGAAACAGTCACCGGAGCTGCCGCCCGCTGCCGGAGCTGCGGGAGCCGGGCCCGCCGCCCATCTGTCAGGACCGCGCGACGGCAGCACGCCCGTCTGTCAGGGTCTGTCAGTGCCGGCAGTGGACGCGCGCGGGTGCGGGCCGGGTACGGACGCGCGCGGGTGCGCGCCAGGTACGGGTGCGCGCCGGCTATGGACGCGCGCGCGCTTGCGTGCCGACGATGGGCGCGCGCGCGTGTATGCCGACCATGGCTGCCGCCCGCTGCCGGAGCTGCGGGAGCCGGGCCCGCCGCCCATCTGTCAGGACCGCCGACGGCAGCACGCCCGTCGGTCAGGGTCTGTCAGTGCCGGCTGTGGACGCGCGCGGGTGCGCGCCGGGTACGGACGCGGCGTTCTCGCCGGGTAAGGACGCGGCGCGCGCGCCGGCTATGGACGCGCGCGCGCTTGCGTGCCGACGATGGGCGCGCGCGCGCTTGCGTGCCGACGATGGGCGCGCGCGCGTGCATGCCGGCCATGGCCGCGCGCGTGCGCCCCAGCCATGGACGCGCGCTAATGCGCGCCGGCGATGGGCACGCACGTGCCTGCTCGGCAATGGATGAGCGACGAGCGTGCCTTCTCGGAAATGAGTATACATGCAGGCATCTTCATGGATGGACGCTTTCAATATGTTCAATGTGTTGAGACGGATCTGAGTAAATTGGAGAGAAACTAGGATAGTTTTAGTCCTGCTCAACTGGTTCTGCCAATAAGTACAAACACCACCTTGCTGCCAACTGCTTACCAAATACCGCATCTGTTGTACCCTTGCATGATGCATATGTACATACAGAAACAATTACAGTCTGTTGAAATCTGAAAACATGCACTGCTGAGCACTGTGGATGAATCTGTATGAACCGTGTGGCCCAGCGAAACCTTCTGGACCAGGTTATAATTGACAGTGAATTAGTAATCAATCCTTGCAAAGAGAAAATAGATGATTGTGCCTTAGATGAGCATAATGAAGAAGCGTTCCTAAAGTTGAGTTAGTGGCTTTCCATCATCCATGCCAGATGGCCAAAACACACCATTTCAATACTGTCCCAAAAATATATTTCAAAACACTTATTGCATGGCTATACACACCAGCTTACTCGGTCACCACACTCAAACCAAGGCCGACTCAAACACAGTCTACTGATACAAACGTCACTGGTCTCAAGCCTGTGCTCGATGCACCAGCTGTACACTACTCACAATACGTAAGGACTCAACGTCAGCCACCAATTTTCTACATCAAATTCACATCAGGTTTTCAAAGTAACAATGTATGTGCCACTTCTGTACTTTGTGCTACAAACACAGAATAAATGATATCAGTCAGCAATGCATTGCTCATTGTCAGCCAGTCTGCAAAGTCAGTCCGCAGGCTTTGCAAGTAAGTGCAAAGTCTGCGGAGATCAGTTGCTTTACACCACACCACCAATATCATGCTGCAATGTGCTCAAAATATGCCCATACACCAACAACAAAGCACAACCATGAAGCACCACTGATAACACTTAACCTCAAAGCACACAACATGATAATTTATTTATTTTGAGTACCTACAGAAACAGAATGTCTCAAGGCCACTCGTGCTCACTCCGAAATCTGCCAGTCGCTCAGCCTTGAACATTGACATTATTTCATCTGAAATCTATTTTCTTCACTTGATCAAAGTTGATCTGCGTCATACATCTTACAACGGATGTCTCGAATTATTGGTAACGTTCAGCACTTAGCATAAACATTTGCATTACAAATGATAGGTAACTTTGATTCAACGTTCCATCCAAGCTTCTTCATTGCTGGAGCACTTTCAAGTTAAATTGCTTGAACTAAGACATTCTTGAATTACACTCGGGATGAGCTTAGTTTGAAAGCACACAACATAATTTTTTAATTATTTTGATAACCCACAGGATATCTAGAAGCTACACGCACTGGCTACAAAGCCCACAAGTCTTGAACATTCAAATATGAATAGGAACAGCTTTGTTTCGCACAGATTTCGCACATGGCGGGATGGCGCCATTCCGTCCAACTCATACAGCCTCAGAAATTACAACAACACACTCAACTTACGGAATATACGTCAAACAAATCTTATTTACGACGACACGAGCCAATGCTAACAACGCTTGCCAGTTGCGCTAGAGATATTGGAGTGGAGACGTCAGAGAAAAAAAGTCTTTAGATTTCTCCCATTTCCCCACGTAACGTTGAACGGCCGTTGCGGCCTTATCTGGTATGCGACGGCCTTATCTGGCATAAAAAATATCTCTAGAAGTCTCTAGCTAGTGTTAAGCCTATGGACTTATAGGGAAATGTATCCGAGTACTTGGTACTGCCTCCTCCAGGTACTGGCTGGCAGACGGATCAACTTTGGAGGCCCACCATTTGGAAATTAGGCAATTTTGAGACGAATGACTTCGGATTGGGGCCTCAGCCACCTTCTTCTACACGTTTCACTGAGTAACTCCGAAATTTCGGAAAAAACCCTGATAATACCTTTAAGTGACAAAATGATACACATCCCAACCACCCCCTTTTGATACCCTACAGCAAGGAGCAATGCCGTTAACTCATTCAACAATTGCACGCTCACGCATACGTACATAACATGTCCCAGCCACTCCCATTTTTGATCTCCAGATCAAGGCGCAAGGCCGCTCAATCATACAAGTTCACACGCTCACGCATACGTACAGATCTACAGACCCCCCCCCCCAAACGGGCCTAAATAAAATTACATCCCCGGGGCGAGAGAAAAGCCGGGGCAGCAGGCGGGGCACATTGGGGAAGGATTATGATAGGAAAGCAGTTCTTTCACCTCCAGTGCTGACCTTACTTGTTAGCTGTTGGCTGTGGACGACAGGGCTGACGGCCGGCTGGCAGCAGATTTATCGGCGGGCGGGCGGCACAGCGACGACGGACGGGCGGCAGAGTTGGCGGCAGCCCGCGGAGCGATGGTGGCGGGCGACATGGAACGGCGGAGCGGCGCAGAGTCCTCCAGTGGCAGGCAGTCCTCCATCCTCCTCCTCCAGAACTATCACCGCCGACTCCTCTCAAACTCTCCTCTCCGCTCGAACTCATTCCCTCCATCGCCTGTCCTTCTCCATCCTGCCGCTACAAACTGACTGTCCCGCCCACCTCCGAACTCCACTTCCCAGCTCTCCAACTCCAACTCAACTGCCGCCTGTGAGCGTCCCCAACGCCTCCGACTCTCCAACTCCAACTGAACTGCCGCCTGTGAGCGTCCCCAACGCCTCAGACTCTCCAACTCAACTCCCTATCCTCAAAATCCTCAAAGTTTTGCTGGAGCTCCATCTGCCTCGGGCTGTCTCTAGAGTTGCCGTCTTCGCTCCGCCTCTTTCTTCCGAGTTCTGCTGCTCTCTGAATTTCCAGTAAGGGCCAATTTTCCAGGTCTTCTGTCCGTCTAACCAGTCTTCTGTATTTTCTGCTGAGTCTGGTTGCCGAAAGGGTGAGATTTCTATTAAATTTAACGTTATGTTGGGCCGAAACGTATGCGTTTTTCCGCTGTGCAGCCTCCGGCGTGCCGTTTCCATGGTGACTGCTATCCTCTCTGGGTGCTCCTCCTCCCTTCAAATATTCTGGCGCCGATAGGTGAATTTGAATCTTCTGCCCCTGGCGATGCCGGCAAATTTGCCACGCCGGCCAGGTTTGCCAGCGTGGGAAGATGGGCCCGGGAATGCGGATGTGCCGTGCCATACTGGAATTTGGATGTTGTTACTCTGTCCCAGTTTCACGATGCTGATTGTCGGCGCCAGTCTCGGCACATCCTGGAAATGTGCTATTTCGAGCCGTGTTTTGAAGAAATTGCCTTTGAAGTGTGATACCGGTGGTCAATTTGGTCCCGGGCGCCCCGGCCTCCCGCTGCCGCAGCGGCGCTGTCGTATCCTGTTTCCCAGGCTGACGGTGTCCGTTCGCCGCGCGTAGGAGGCTGCGTGCCTTTGTCCATCCGTCCCCCCGGCCCCCCTTGACCGGGGTTGGGACCCATTGCTGGACCCTTCCCACGGTCGGCGGCGGTGAGACGGCTCTGTAAGGGCCGCCGGATAATAGCATTTGGCGGCGCGGTCTCGGATCCGTGTTTGTCCTGCCGTCCGGTGTCGGCCAGATGGTCGGCGGGTCAGCGGTGTCTGGTCGCCGGCGCGCTGCTGTTATGAAGGATGAATTTGGGAACGGGTTGATTTGGGGAGGGAAAATGAAACGCACCAGCGTTACACTTCACCAATATTTTTGGCGCTCCTACACCCATGCCTATGGTGACCAAACATTTTCCAGAGGCCATAATAGGTTGACCGCAAATGACGTCAGAATGACGTCATGTTCCGCCATTTTCGACCCAAAAACAGGTTTCGCGAGAAGAACTGTCAGGCCTACAGCTGTGAAGATAGAGAAAAATTTCCAAATATAAAAGGTTTAGAAGTAAAAGGGCTATAGGTACAACTTTTATCTCGGATTAAAAAAAAAATGCATTTTGGCCTCCAAAAATAAAAAAGTAATTTTTTGATGCCCAAAAATCCCCCCCCCCAAAAAAAAATCGAATAAAAAAACGAGATAAATATGAAAGTCCCAAACACCTATTCACACACCAAATTTGAGATTGATACCTCTTTTTTGGCCAAGTTGCAGCAAAAACACTTCAAAATTGATGACGTAAAATTTTCAAACTCAATTTTTAGCAATTCTAGACAACGTAGCGCAAAACAAAGACCACTATTAGGCTCCCCGAGACGAGCTACATCGAATTGGTACCCATTTTATACAAAAATATCGACTTTAAAATTTGACCTTTTTTAACCTGACCTTGGCCTGACCTTCACCAGAACGTAAACTGGCCCAAAAGGTTAACTGACTAACATAATCGCATTTGTCAAAAAAATGGACCACAAAACATGTATCACACGACACTTTCTTATTGTGACCCTCAGTGACCTAGCCTCTGTGACCTGACCTGGTATCAATGACCTCAAAAAATAAAGTCTGTGTTTTACGGACAATTCCCCATCGATGATTTTCAATAACATGCCTTTCTTTTTGGTATACAGATACCAAACCGATACCAACTTGGCATTTGGTATTTGAATCGTAATGTGTTTGTTATTTTGTTGGTATCATGAACCCCACTAATGTCGGTATAAGAGGCTAAGAAATCGGTAAAAAGTTGGTATTTCCCTCATGTTCCCAAGTTGGTTTGGTTTCGGTATTTCTCCACAGTTTTGGTTGGTATTTGGTTTCGTATCGGTATTCCGATTTTCCGTAACTGACATCACTAGTCCTAGGTCATCGGGTGACCTTCGAGGTCAGGTCAATGACCCGAAAATTGGGAAAATCGGGACCTGTTAGAAAGTCGTAAAGTGTGGCTGATATGGGGTTTTCCGGGGTACTGATCCCGATTATCGTGTTAGTTTTGATCAGAGATGATGTCTTTAAGCATTTAGACCAAGTCGGGTCAGGTCAGGTCAGGTCAACCGGTAGGGGTCGTGGCGGGTACCTATTTGTAATACGTGTCAACCGCCTCTGACAGCTTTGTAACATGTTACGAAGGCACCAAAACTACTTCGTAAATGTTCAAATGGTTGCTAAATTCGAATTCAGCTTCAAAAACTAGCCTAGAAACATGTAAAACTCGAAAAAGTGAACCAAGGTCACCAAAGGCCAAAGACCTGACCTGACCTTCAGGTGACCTTGACACCCACCCTGATGCATGGGAGCAACATCAAATCACATCACATGTTTGAACGTTTGAAACCACGAAAAGTTTGCAAACGCGCGGCTAATGCGAGCCGACATACGCCGAATCGCGATTCCGGCCAAACATGGTCTCGGAAAAGAGGTCACAGGTCAAAGGTCATTTGGGTCAGGGTCATGAAATTTTCAAGGTAGGTGTAAAATTGATCAATGCGAGGGTACTGAAAGTTTTGTCGCGATCGACCGCTTTTTACGCGAGTTATTCGCGAAAAACCTTAGGGGGGTTGCATCAACCCCCTTGTGCCGGCGAGGGTTAACCCGCGCCCCACTGGGGTCTGCGTATAACACGCCCTACTGGGGGGGGGGCTATTCATAGCCCCCCTCGTAACTCCGAAACTACTGGGCCGATCGTCAAAATTCAAACGGCGTCTGATAGCCCCGGAAAAACTGTCGAACGAAACCTAATTTCATTGACCTCGAGGTCACCGATGACGTCACAGGTCAGGTCAAAGTAAAAATTATTACCATTTTGGCTTCTTCACGTTTTGGGCTCTGGCCGCCGTCTTACAAGTCAGATCAGGCTCATTTTTGGTCCACACTCGTGAACAGATGCTCTAGATACCCTGAGGGTACCAAACTTGTACTTTGATTTTCAGGTCAAGGTCAGGTCATCACAGGTCACGAAAATATTATATCATGCGTCGGCCACGTGACACATGTTTTATGGTCCATGTAGGCCAAAGATTTCGAATTTGATGTCGTCTGTGTCATTCGAGGTCATTTTGAGTCGAATTTAGCTTAGGTCAGGTCACTTTCAGGTCAAAAAAGGTCAAATTTTGAAGTTATAATTTGTCAACAGAAAAGGTGTCTATTGGATGCAGTTTGAGCTCAGGAACACGATGGTGCTATTTATATTGGCGTACGATGTCAAATACGTGGTAAAAAATTGATTTGAAAAATTAATAATTGTGAATTTTTTGCAATAATGCGTATAACTTGGCCATTTTTGAAGATATTTAGCTAAAACTTGCTAGAGTTAGTCATAATAACGCATTCTATCACATATATTCCGGTTTTTTCGAAAAGTCAAAAACTTTTTGAAAAAAATGTAAAAATGTAAACATTGAACTTTATTGTATGAAATTTTCAAAATTTTCAAAATTTCGAAAATCCGAGATGGCAGTTTGATAGCGCAGTCTATTCTGAGTCTTCTCATGCAAAGAAATTGGATCTAGCTTAAAAACTGAGCCCTTGGGAGCGATTGCCGTGGTTCAATGTTTTGCGTGGAAATCGGCCGAACATTACGTCACTCTGACGTCATTTCCGGCCGACCTATGGTAGCTACGAAGTTCAAATTTTGACACAAGGTGTCAAATTGATGCAGCCGAAGGTACTGAAAGTTTGCCGTCGATACGTCAAGCGGTTTGGAAGTTATTGCAGAAAAACGGGAGGGGGGGCTATAAATAGCCCCCCCCCCCAGTGGGGCGCGGGTTAAGACCCTTACTTGACTTCAGCCAAACAAAAGACCTACTGTTCGGCACGCTTGAGTATGACGATCACGATGGTGCTAACATCGCGGCTCTGAGACTTTTTTGGCGGAGTTATTCACCAAAACCGAACGCGATCTCACTTCCTGACAGTGTTTTCATCGCTCTAGCATGTCTCACCGTTCCGCCTACTGTACGTGCGAGCCCGGCCTCCAATTTGCAATGACTCCGGCAGTGTCCCCACACGGAGCCGGTCTCCAATTCAGAGCGACGCGTAAATTCGCCACCCGAGCGGCTGATTAAGGTTACAACTCATGGCCACAATGGGACTGGACGGCACGGGCCTACAGCAGTGGCAATTTACACAGGGAACGGGCCAAATGACTCAATGAAGAAAGGCCGTAACCAGGCAATTGCTGGCACCACATAGCAGGGCGTTTATTGCTCTGCTCCTACATACTTAGGAGACGGATACTGTGAGTGAGCTAGATGATTAATCAGCTCGAACTTTGAGATACCGGTCCCAGAGAAATAGCTGTAGCTCAGAACAACGGTATGTTCTTTGATGTATCACAGACAATTACAACTTACAAGGCCTACTGCTATTACATATATATTATTGTCTGTGATACATAGAAACAATGTTTATTTATTGTATATGGATATGCTCTGGTGTGAATTCCCCCGAGCTATGCATCCGTACAGCGTTCGTCCTCGCCAGTCGCCATGACGTGTTGCAGCAACCCCAGATAACTAACACCCCCCACAGCGCGTCTCACTTCCGTGACCACAGTATTCTCACATTCTCCGCAGCATGTCCAACCTAAATCCAGCGGTATCCAGACAGTGTTCCGCCTAAGCCCAGCGGTACCCAGATAGTGTGTCCAACCGCCTTGGTCCAACCTATATCCAGTTGTACCCAGACAGTGTCCCACCTATATCCAGCGGTATGCACTAACATAGCCTGTCCCAACTTTATAAACCGATACCCAGACAGCGCATCCCCTCGCCTATCCCAAGCGGTCGCCATGTCGACAGCAGCGCTCCACGCTTCCCGTCCGCCGCCTGGCTCGGTCGTCCCGTCCAGCTGTCGCCAGGCTCACATCAACACGTCAGCCGTTTCGGCTGCTCTCTGCCGAACGTTTATTGAACCCAACAACAAAGCACCACTCACCCCAAACGGACGTCGACGGTCAAATCACCCGTCTGACGACCAAAAGCAATCCGATCGCCGGGAAAGTCGTTTCTTTTCAGTGTGCCATTCGACACCTTATTGAGTTATTACTGTTAGACAGCCCTGACGCCCTGGGCATGCCGGATTTCCCAAGTACACAAGGCAGAAGGCGGCAGTGAAAAGACCAAACTCGAGGCTGGTGCTCTCTGCTGGGCTATTCAGAGTCCGCGAATATCTGTTTAAAGAAGCCGAAGGATGATTTCCGTAGTCGGCCTCACAACCAGCCGACAAAATATCTCAGCAGGCGAAATCGGCCGACCAGAGAATGATACCCCACAAAGCGAATCCCACAAAGCGATACTCTGTCAAACAACAATTGAGAAGCATTTTGATAAAAAATGTTGAAATTTCACAACAAACAGTCAAACCGCAAGAACAACAAATTTTCGACAAGCCACTGATTTTACGCTGAAAATTTTCGATTCACTTAGCTCGATCGCGTCTTAGCATTAACACAAGCGGTGGGACGCCCGACTGGCATTCCGTTTGCTCCTGGATTTTCGAGCGGCCGCATTCGGTGACGCAGCACCTCCGGGTCTAAGTGACGTCATACGACGGGTGACGTCATATAATCTCCCCCGCTGACTCACTCACTCAAACACACAAGCTCACACATTCAGTCACTCATTCACGCTATTTCACTTCATCATCATGCTATCTCTCTCTCTCTCTCTCCCCCCCCCTCTCTCTCTCTCTCTCTCTCCTCTTTTTCTTCCCTCTCTCTCTCTCTTTCTCACTTTCTCACTTCGCACAGCCGATGAAGGGAGCCGTCACCGGCCGGGAAGAATAATCAACCGTCGGTGCCATCTGACCTCAGAGTTGGTGATAAATGGTGTCAAAATTAACCGGACTTACCTGACCCCGGACTTACCTGACCGGCGACGGCTCCCCAACCCCGGCCTGCCTCTCATGCATCATACACGCCTCTCTCTCTCTCTCTCTCTCTCTCTCTCCTCTCTCTCTCTCTCTCTCTCTCTCTCTCTCTCTCTCTCTCTCTCTCTCTCTCTCTCTCTCTCTCTCTCTCTCTCTCTCTCTCTCTCTCTCTCTCTCTCTCTCTCTCTCTCTCTCTCTCTCTCTCTCTCTCTCTCTCTCTCTCTCTCTCTCTCTCTCTCTCTCTCTCTCTCTCTCTCTCTCTCTCTCTCTCTCTCTCTCTCTCTCTCTCTCTCTCTCTCTCTCTCTCTCTCTCTCTCTCTCTCTCTCTCTCTCTCTCTCTCTCTCTCTCTCTCTCTCTCTCTCTCTCTCTCTCTCTCTCTCTCTCTCTCTCTCTCTCTCTCTCTCTCTCTCTCTCTCTCTCTCTCTCTCTCTCTCTCTCTCTCTCTCTCTCTCTCTCTCTCTCTCTCTCTCTCTCTCTCTCTCTCTCTCTCTCTCTCTCTCTCTCTCTCTCTCTCTCTCTCTCTCTCTCTCTCTCTCTCTCTCTCTCTCTCTCTCTCTCTCTCTCTCTCTCTCTCTCTCTCTCTCTCTCTCTCTCTCTCTCTCTCTCTCTCTCTCTCTCTCTCTCTCTCTCTCTCTCTCTCTCTCTCTCTCTCTCTCTCTCTCTCTCTCTCTCTCTCTCTCTCTCTCTCTCTCCGGATTGGCGCGCGCGCGGGCGGACGGCGGCGGTGCGTCTCGCGCGCTGGTCCGTCCGCTCCGTTGAGGCGGTGGTGTTGCTTTCAGACTTTGTCAGGGCGCCGGTGGTCGACCCTGAGGGGTCGTCGGCGGGGCGGGGCGCGCGCGCGGCGGCCGGTGCGGTGACCGGCGCCCTCTGGGCGGCCCCGCCCGGCGCGGCGACCGGCCGGCCCGGGCGCGGCGGCGGCGGCGGCGGCTCGGCGGCGCGCCGCTCGCCGGCGATGGCTCAGCGCGGCGGCTGAGACGAGCGGGCGACTCGGTGAGGAGTCGGAGGACGGAGGTGGCCGGTGGCCTGCGGCGGCCGGCGCTCACACCCAGGGCGTCCATCCCTCGTACAGCAGCGCCAGGTTGGTGGTGCTGGTCGCCTCGCGGATGGTGAAATCCACCTGGAGGAGCCGGGCGGCGGTCAGAGGTGCGCCACACCAGACCAGGACAGAGCAGACTGCATCAGACCAGAGCAGACCACACCAGACCAGAGAACAGCGGTGCATAGCAGTCTACACGTCACCAGACCAGAGCAGAGCAAAGCACAACAGCCCACACCATACAACAGACCAGAACCGAGCCAGACCAGACTAGACCAGAGCATGTCTCACCAGATCCACCAGACCAGACCACAGACCAGGCATATGTCTAGATCGACGGCGGAGCTTACCCAGAATCATATTAATTCAGACAAAGGATATAAATTTTACAATTACTCAAATGTCACTTACAGAGTCCAGTTTGACATAGGTCATAGAGCGTAGAAAGGTCACTACGAGACCAGTCAAAGAGCAGACAACAGTGCAGCAAACTCCAAATAAGACAATTCAGAGATCAGCCAACCAATGACGGATTTACAAAAGCGCTAGATATAACCCAGTTCGGACTGGACTTCATGTTAATTCACAGACGTCAAAGCTCCAAGCAAAAACTGGATAATGTTACAAACATTCAGCAGAAACAGTGGGAGGATGACTAATGAAATGCAATGCAACACATCGCTGGAAAGAATAATCCGCCAGCAATGCCACCGAGATTTTTTTTTTTAACGTCGCAGCCAAGCAGCCCCAGTCGATCATTCATCCAACCATTCATTCAGTGATCCATTCGTTCGTTTATTCACTCATCCATTCGTTCATTCTGTCTCAGATTGCCCGACCCGCGCCGACGGGCAGACAGCGACCGCTCCCCGTCCCCGGGGCGGGGAGGGGGCGCCCAGCGGTACAAAGCAGCCTGAAACTGGCGGCTCGCAGGGCAGGACGGGGAAGGGATAAGGGAAGGGCGGGATGGGTATGATAACGGGGAGGCCAACCTAACCTGTATTCCATTACACGTGGGCGTATAAGCATGCCATTCATACGGGATGATAGCGCTGGTACTTACCCGCGCTCTACCTGGAGAAGGGAAGGGGGGAGGGGAGGTTTGAACACCCCGTCTTGCGGCTTTTCGCAAGTATCTAAAAACGGCGGCGCTCCACGCCAACGTTTCTGGCTCAGCTTTTCAATTGAGGTCAGTTTTATCTGTTCTTCCACCTGTGACCCTTCTGTTGGGGTCCGGTCAGGTCAGGTCAGGTCAGGTCATTCTCGTACCTGTTCTTCCACTGTGGCTGTTCTGTTGGGGTCCGGATCTCTTCCCTCGAGTTTCTGTCGGACTCGACGCCACACGGCCAGGGCGTACTGGTTACAGCCCTGGATACCTGTGGCACGGGTCACATACGGGTCAGCTACGGGTCAAGGCGAACCACACGGGTCAGAGCGCGGGCCACACGGGCCAGACAGGGGCCAGGGCGAGTCAGAGTCAGAGGACGAACCAGCTGGCTACAAGCTCTGAGCCTCATCCATGTGCTGTACGGTACGATTGGACTGTGAATGACGCATTGGCACGAGGCCGAAGTCCAATCAGGAATGTGTATATGATACCTGTACACTGTAAGCGGGTATTCTGAAACACAAATGATAATGATGGCGCTCGAGTTGTGGAGATACCCGAACAACGTTGCTTACCAGCGGCCTGTGAAAGCACATGGACGAGAGAAATCTCACACGATGCGACCATTGACCGGAAAAAATCCTCTTATGTGAATCAGTCGCGGTGTGGACCCACCTCTGCCAGTACGCGGGTCTCGCTGCGTGCTGGGCTTCTCTCTCGGTGTCAGCGGTTTGGTGTCCTCCGCTGGGGCGGACGATAGCTGTCCGGCCAGGGCCACCAGCGTATCATACACAGCGCCTGTAAGAGTGAGTGGGAGACGATGAGCTATCATACTGACAGAGCTTGCAGAGCTTGCAGAGCAGAGCTTGAGTCACACGTTTGACACGAGAGAGGGGAGGATATATAACGCAATATGTATCCATGAAACATGAAACACATCCGGGACGGGACAAATTAGAACATACATGTCGCGCCAGCTGAGTTATTTGCATCGTTTGCGGAACATGGATAGTACGTAATGAGCAATTTTTCGAAAACGTCTATTAAAAATCAGTGTTCGCTCTGACAGCAATAGGGCCTTATGTAATCAAAGTAAATGACAGTTCAGCCTAGGCTATTAGTAGACTGTTATACAGGTCCGAAAGCCAACAGGAAATCAAACAATCTCGAATGGACGACGGAAATGGTAGACTCGTAAATCAGAGGAGTGTAAAGAACAGGAACACCAATCAACTGAATCAGTTTGTCCTGGAAGCGATCTCATCCATTGAGTGCCATTCCTCCCATCAGCAGCACAAAACACGGACCCTGAGGCGACTTGAACTTGGTCGCTGGATTCAGCGGACGCGGCCCGGCCACTTACCCAGCTCTTTACCGGCGGGCTACTTTATTTATTGTGTGGGAGCTATCACCTACTGCTAGTCTGAATTCGCAGCGAACGCCGACCAAATACAAGCCCTGCGACACCCACCATCGACACCGGACGAAAAGAAAACATGGGCCCTGGTGGAGGCCAGTGGCGGTAAAATGTCAACCAAGATCGGGAAAATCCCCAACGAAGACCGGTAAACACCAGCCAAGACAGGTATCACAACGACGGGTATTGCAGAATCTCGCCCGCCCGACACGTAAAACCCGGCTGCACGGTCAGTAAAATTAAAATTCCAGTATGAACTTCTTACATTGCCAATTGTCATCAAAGCAGCGAATAAACTACGGTGAAAGATGACAGCTACGAGACACAGAAGTTCAACAATATCTCCCATATTAAAACAAGTCCAACAAACTACACAGCCATCATACAGGAGAGACTATGTAGTCTCGGCTATGCTAAGAACAGGCAACAACTCTTCAGATAGTGCAGTGGCAGCCGAACACACTCTGTGGAAGATTGACATAGTCCTGACGACAGGAATAACAACGAAGAGCCGTCCGTTGATACATGATCTGTTGATAGATAGTCTGAAATACATAATCCTCCTGGAACTCAGCTCCCAGCAGTTCGGGACACGGCAGGCCAGGTCAGGTCAGACATTATTTCCACGGCTGTGTCATTAATTACCGCTGCCTGGCGCAAGCAGAGCGGGAACCCGCCCTCGCCAGCTGCGCAGCCCAGCGAGGCACGGGGCTGTCACCGTCACTGCTTTGAATACACGTCATTTAAATGGAAATGCCGTGTCGCCGGCGCTGCACCGTCCCGGCAGTACACAGAGTGACAGTGACGGCACCGAGAAGGAGAGCGGACTACACTGAGCTACCCAGCGGCGACATTGGCGAGGTGCTGTTCCCAGGTCAGTGACGCGCTGAGCAGACTGCAGCGCACGGGAAGACAAGTGCGCAGGAAGCTCCTAATCAGAGCTACAGCCATGTCCTGTCCGGCAGGGCGACTCCGTCTCAAAGTGGCGAGAGAGTTGCAACATCACTCTGAGCTGTGCGAAGTGACTCGACGTTCTGTGTTCTCCTGAGGGAGCTACGACGGACAGGGACCGCGGCCGCCGGCAGGCAGAGTTGTGTCGGTGAAAGCGGCACGACTATTCAGCCGTGCGGACGCAACCGTTCGACTCTAAATTCCTCTTCCACCGGGGACATTCAATGCATATTAATGAGATCTAATCAACGACTACCGGAACCCACTAAACAGACAAAAACACTCGAAAGCTTCAGGAAAATCGGACAGAAATCACATGCATACAAAGCGTGACGAGTTTTCATCGTCATTTAACACCAAAGCTCCCGAATTATATTGCGAAAGAAGAGGTCGTCCTCTCTCTCTCTCTCTCTCTCTCTCTCTCTCTCTCTCTCTCTCTCTCTCTCTCTCTCTCTCTCTCTCTCTCTCTCTCTCTCTCTCTCTCCCTCCCCCTCCCCCCCTCTCTCTCTCTCTCTCTCTCTCTCTCTCTCTCTCTCTCTCTCTCTCTCTCTTTCCTCTCCTCTCACCAATCTCCCACATATTCATTGCAGTGTAGCCTCCAGCCCGATCAGGTACTCGGTCACGTGGTCCCTGCCCCTCCCCTCACCAGTGCTCTGCAGTATAGCCTGCAGCCCGGTCAGGTACCCTGTCACGTGGTCCTTGCCTCCCCTCACCAGTGTTCTGCAGTATAGCCCCCAGCCCGGTCAGGTACTCGGTCACGTGGTCCCTGCCCCTCCCCTCACCAGTGCTCTGCAGTATAGCCTCCAGCCCGGTCAGGTACTCGGTCACGTGGTCCCTGCCTCCCCTCACCAGTGTTCTGCAGTATAGCCTCCAACCCGGCCAGGTACTCGGTCACGTGGTCCCTGCCCCTCCCCTCACCAGTGCTCTGCAATATAGCCTCCAGCCCGGTCAGGTACTCGGTCACGTGGTCCCTGCCCCTCCCCTCACCAGTGCTCTGCAGTATAGCCTCCAGCCCGGTCAGGTACTCGGTCACGTGGTCTCGGCTGACCGGCTCGTTGAGGACGCTGCGTATCAGCGTAGTCAGAGGCTCGGAGAAGCCGCGGTGCTGCGTCATGTACGTCTCCACTGCAGGTAGTTCATCGCCGGAGCCCTGCAGAGAGGTAATTAATAAATTATTCGTTGAGAGTTAAAGGAAACAGAGCCGCACGGGTTAATACGGGTTAATCACGGATTCATCGAGGAACACGGGACGTACGTACTAGGTTAAGTAGTCACCGATTTAAAGTCATATCAGTTAAAAACAATCGGGCATTGTCATATTTTTCAAGAGTCATCATTTCCTAGCGTTGATGGAGGTTCTGCTGATTTTAATAACACAAGAGTTGGTTAGCATAGGCGGCGGAACGGGGAGGGCACCGGAGCACCGTGCCCCCCTTTGATTTTAGAATTTTAACACCAGTAAAACGCCTTTTGGGCGAAGAACGAGCGAGCGAGATAGTGAGCCCTGCACGTGCGGAAGGGCGAGAGGGTACTTCCAACGGGCTTGCGCAAAGCACCCTTCTAACTGGTCGCTAGCGGTGTACCAAATTTGAACGCAATCGGCCCAGCCGTTCCTGAGATCTGGAAGCGGCACTCTGCACGTGCACACGTGCAAACGGGGTCCAAACTGACTTTTGCACGGCACCCTACTAACTGGTCCCCAACCGTGTACCAAATTTGAGCGCAATCGGCCCAGTCGTTCTCGATATCTGGAAGCGCCCCCTGCACGTGCGCACGTGCAGTAGCACCTTAACCGCAGCACATGGGAATGCATTGCCTGGTGGGTGCCTACCTGTATGCCAAGTTTCAGCGAAATCGCCCCAGTATTTACCGAGTTATTAAAATGGGAACAAATTTGACACCTCTTATTGTTGTATTTTGCACGTGCACTGGGGGTGACCCACATGCATCGAGAGTATCCTATTTTTGGTAGAAGGGATGCAGCTACGCTATAAAAATTACCGGAAGACAATCGCCCAAGCGGCTGCTGAGATATGGGCCTCTCAAAATCACTACTTTTGCAAACAGCTTGAACACCCCTGACTTTTCACGTGGCACGTGCCACGACGGTCACTGAGATGTATCAAAAGTAGTCAATTACGGGGTAGAAGGGATGGCGCTACCCAGCAAAAAAGACCGCAGGCCAATCGGTCCAGCGGTTGCTGAGATATAAGCCTCTCAAAAGCGTTACAGGCCGGGCCGGGCCGGGCCGGGCCGCTCATACTGAGATTTTTCCGTTATATTGAAAAGACTCGCTTCGCTCGCTCTCTCGTAATTAGCCCTATGGGTGTTGCATGGAAAGAATGGGACCAAAAGTCGGCGGTGCCACCCCCCCCCCTAATCGAAGGTGTTCCGCCGCTATTGTTGCCTAGCAACACTATAAACAAGGTTTCTTCCGAATGATACCTACGATGGTTAACCCGCGCCCTGCTGGGGGGGGGGGGTGTTTGAACCCTTGTGGTTTTTCGCGAATATCTCAAAAACGGCGGCGCGGAGCGCCGCCGTTTTTGGTACACCTTATCATACATCAATTCTACACGTGTTGTGAAAATTTCAGACCAAGGTCATTCAAGGTCAGGTCACCAGGTCACTTGAAGTGACCTCACCTCATAAAAAGTTTCAATGTCTGTCATAGCTACACCGAGTGACCGATCGCTTTGAAACTTTCAGCGATTGCTAAGAGCAATAGCACGTACAAAATGTATATCTCAGAATTTTGATATCGATGACCTAAGGTCAGGTCAATTTTGCGACCTCCCCATTATAAGTCAATGGGAGAAAATTGAAATGCGCCTCTTTTGGACGAAATACGTTGTAAACACTCCCAAACACTGAATTACAAGTGGTTTAGACACACTGAACATGAAAATGGTGTCCGTGACCCCTGTTTATGCCCTGAGGTCATCTTAGGTCACGAATGGTATCGAACAGTTTTTCGCAAATAACTTTTGATAGAGGCATGCTAGAGCGATGAAAACGCATTAGATGTGTTCAGCTCGACGATACGGATCGACTGATATGCAACATGACCCTTTCAGGTCAGGTCATGACCTTGACCTGAGGTCAAATTTTCAAGTTGACCTTTCAAGGTCAAGTTATAGTTCATTCGATGCGTCTTGACGAGAGGAACACGATGCCGGTAAAAGTAAGCTCGTGCAAGGCTTGGATCAAAAGTTATTGCAGAAAAACTGTTTCCGAAAAAATCGGCTATTTTTGCAGTTTTTGCCCCCTGCAGGCAAAATCGTTGACGTTAGGTCAAATCTGAGAGAATTACTCAGAAAGGGCGTTAATAGGGCTATCGAATGCGCTTTTCCGCGGCGCTGTAGCTCTATTGGTTCCCGAGTTATGCGTTGGTATCTTGGAAATTGTCGACATTCGACCTGGAAATCGGCGAAATTTTGCCTTCAATGACCTCTGGTGACCTGACCTTTGACCTGACCAAAAAATTGACCGAAGTGATTTCGTCATTATTTTTGGCGCTCTTTCGAACGCCGCCTTCCGCGTATCGCTACGTGGCCCAGGAGCCGAGTTAGAAGGGGGGGTGTTCAGACACCCCCCTCCCAGCAGGGCGTGGAAATCCAGGACCCCCAGCCGGGCGCGGGTTAATATCAATTCATCGCACCCAGTACTGAAACAGAGCCAACGTTGGTGTAAATCAAAATGGCCTCATCTGACACAATTCACATGACTCTACTCCATACGAAGCACGTCTCACTGCCCCCTCCTCCTACCCAGCCGTCACACCCGCCGCGTTCAACTGACCTTGGCTATGGCCTTAAGTAACAGGCGGACATCTGAGATCAGTTTGTGGTGGGCGGTTAGCAGGTCTCTGACCCGCCCCACCTGTCCGCGTATCTCGTCCCAGCAGACAAACATCTCAGATTGACGCTCAGACACCTCCTCCGTGTTGGTCTGCTGCAGCTCTGGGGGTTTGGTCGGGTCAGGTCGGGTCAGGTTAGGCCGGTTTAGATACATCCATGCTGATCTGCTGTAGATCTGTGAAAGGTCAGGCCAGGTCAGGTCGGGTCAGGTCAGGTCAGGTCAGTTCAGATGCCTCATCCGTGCTAGTCTGCTGTGGCTCTGGGGGTCAGGTAAGGTCGGATCACGTCAAGTCAGGTTAGGTCAGATGACTCCTCCGATTTGGTCAGTGACTCCTCCAGGGGTCAGGCAGGGTCACGTCAGACCATATCACTCCCTAGCTCTGCTGTGCTGTCCTGCAGAAGCTCCTAAAGACCATGTCAGTTAAGGTCAGATGACGTTTGATGTCCCATTCCTCAGTGTTTGTGTCAAGTAGCTCCGAGCATTAACCCACGTGTTCCTCTAAATTTGGTCCAGGCGCTCTGCTTTATTGGCCGTGAAATGGCGCCGCTTACAGAGGCTTATAAAGACGAGTCGTGCAGCGAACAACAGTGTCAGGCTTAGGACAAATGGCGCGTCAGAAAATCCAGACAGCTCGGCCGCATTTATGTACAGGACATGGGGGGGGGGGGGGGGCAGTGCGGACGAGCAGAAATCGCAGTCACTGCTGATCCTAGCGTGCAGTCACAAGAATTACATAGAAAATATCTAAAAGCACTCACAATAATTGATAAATTGCATTTGCACAATCAACATTAGCGAAACTGCGCGCAATTACAACATTAAACGTCCTGACTGAAGCTTTAAGCATAAATTTACAACGACAAATGCAGGAAGTACAAAACCACTCTAATTACAGTAATAACTTAAGTCACAATATAAATGCTGAGTGAGTTTTCAATAACGAACATTTTTTTTTCAGTGGTCTCAATTTACGCAATTTGCCTCACAAGTAAAAGTGTAGTTACCTTCTACATTTCCGCACTGGATGATGATGATGATGATTGGGGTTTTTGGGCGCCCGGACTACAGTGGTCATCGGCGCCCAACATTTCGGCCCCTCAGTGTTTGCCCCTCAGCCCCCTCAGTCAGTTCTTGCGCTCTCGTCATTCCAGGGCTGATTCACTCCACGCTACCCTCCCCGCGCCTGCCGACTTACCCTGCAGAGCCGATGCCGCCTGGGCGATCCAGCCTGCCGTCATCCTGTCCGGGGGCGGCACGGAGGCACACAGCGCCGCCTCTGAGGGGGTCACCGACTGACCGGCGTCCGAGGAGAGACGGGCCGCCTCCTGCACCTCGCCCAGTAGCTGTGTGTGTGGGGGGGGGGGAGAGGTCAGGTCAGGTCAGGTCAATAACTGAGGAGAGCCGGGCCGCCTCCTGTACCTCGCCCAGCAGCTGAGGAGAGTTCAGATCATGTCAGGTCAACGTTTGAAAAGCGTAATCCTCCTGCATCTCGCCACACAGTTGGGGACGCGGCAGGTCAGGGCAGGTCAGGTTGGGTCGACGTTCAAGAGGCGCCTCTCCTAGCAGCTGGGGACTCGGCAGGTCAGGTCGGCGGACACGGGTCAGATCACCAGCCACGCTCCGTCAGAGGACGGCTTTCACGTCATACGCCTAGCCAGTAAGTATGATCCACCCCTTCTTCGGGTGACCCCCCCCCCCCCCCCCTGTCTAGGGCATTCGCGATTCCGTACCACCTTAATTACAGTCCATTACCTCAGCTAATTACGCGCCCCATAACACGTATTCACGGCCCCATATCTCCATACTCACAGTCCCACACCATGACAAGCATCACCCCTTCCATACCTGTATGAACCTGGAGTCCTCGGCGGCCGGATCGGCTCCGCGTCCTCTCAGTCTCTCCGAGTGCAGCACGCTCCTGCCGAGCTCGGCCACGGCGGCCAGCAGCTGACGGAGGTCGGCCACGCGCGCCTGGCACCGCTGAACGCTGCTCGTGTGTGACTCCAGCAGCTACGGGAGAGGCGGGGGGGGGGGGGGGGGAGACACACAGAGGGCGGCCGGCGGAGGGGTCAGTGGGCTTTAGAAAGGGAATGATGGAATCTCCGCCAGACTCCGCCGACACTTTTACCGTTCGATTGCGGTAATATCGGAAAGCAGTTGGACAGTTGCCTAAGTAAATATATGTGTTGACATGTTAGAGATCAACGTCAAATACCTGATGTTTAAGTGTATAAAAGCGGCAACTATGCATCATGAAACTACATTTGTTACAAAATTTTCGAGATAAGCAGGAGCATTATTACGGAGCATCCTCCCCATTGCAGTTGATACACCCAACTATGAACATTGAGTCAAAACATCTAAGCCTGACCCCCGGTGTCACGCCCATAGCCACCAGCCACTGAACTGAACCCAACCCACCCTTAGTCCTCAGTCTACCGTTACCCTCCACAAGTCCACAGATCCCAACACGAGGTGACCTACCTGTGTGACCTCGGCATTGGCTCCGGCCGCCCAGCGCAGCCGCTGCTCCACGCTCTGCGCCAGCTGACTGAACTCGTCACAGAGGTCCCAGAGCGGCGGGCATCTGTCCAAAGGGGGGGGGGTCACTGGGTCAGGACATCTGACGGGGGGTCACAGGGGGTCACATATAGGGGGACATGTGTCGAGAAGGGGAAGGAGCCGGAGAGGTTACAAATAAAGGGACATCTGTCCAGGGGAGAAGGGGTTTTTGTTGTTTTTGTTTTGTTGGGTCAGGCCCTTTCGGTCTGACAAGACCATTGCAGAGCCGGAAGGATGATAGGAATTAGGGGGAGACATTGGTCTGGGCAGCACCCTAGAGAGTCGCCGGGGCTGAGCCCGTCCGAATGGACAGGCCGACCAGCCCCCCAAGCACTCTCTGCACCCGGCTACGGGGTGCGCTCCCTCGGGAGCAGCGATGCCGCTCCAAGGGAGCAGCCCGCATGAGATAAAGGTGCCTGTCCAGCCCGGAGTGGGGTTGCGGCGTGGAGAAGAAGGATTTCTGTATCCTGAGGATAGAAGCACGGAACGGTGGGGCGGGTGGGTGGGGGGGGGGGGGGAGATTAAGGGGTATAAGGGGTCACGTAGGGGCGGAAATCTGTCGAGGGCGAGCAGGGAGAAGGCATGGCGGATCACTGAGAGATTAACCCGGCAGGCGGTGGGCCTCCCGGCCACCTTCCGCGCGGTGGGGGGGGGGGGCATTTTTTTGCCCCCCCCCCGTATCTCCGTAACTACTGGACGGATCCTGAAAATTCAAACCGCGTTCGATAGCCCTGTCAAATTTGTCGAAGGAAACCAAATTTCTTTGACCTCGGGGTCACCGATGACGTCACAGGTCAGGTCAAAGATAAAATGTTTCACCGTTCACAGGGCTTCTAGGGAAAGCTCTATAATACCGAGTAAAACGCATTTTGTCGAAAATCAGCGATAGGGCGTCAGTTTTCTAGTACATATGTTGCTATTACAGATCACTGGTCATACCAGGTCAGGTCACAGGTCAGGTCACCGAAGGTCACCAAGGGTCACCACATGAACCCAACTTTACTAAGGTTGTGCGATGCATGTTTTATGGCCAGTTTTTCATTTCCAACTCAATGGTGTTGGTTATAAGCAGGGCTGCGGAGTCGGAGTCGGAGTCAGAGTCGGAGTCGGTCGGAATCGACAGTTGTGACAGGAGTCGGAGTAGGAGTCGATATTGGAAACCCCAGCCGGAGTCGGAGTCGGAGTCACCGAAAATCTGTCGACTCCGCAGCCCTGCGAGGTGTGCGGAGTCCGAGTCGGGAGTTGGAGTCGATCGGAGTCGACATTTCTGCCCGGAGTGGGAGTCGGAGTCGGAGTTGATTTTTGAAAGCCGGAGTCGGAGTCGGAGTCGGAGTCGCCGTAAATCCATCGACTCCGCAGCCCTGGTTATAAGACCATCAGGTACGGTTTAGGTCACTTTGTGGTGGAGGTCAGGTCAAGGTCAGGTCAAAAAAGGTCAAATTTCAAAGCTGATGTTTTTGCATAAAATGGGTATTGATTCGATGCAGCTCGTCACGGGGAGTCTAATGGTGGTCTTTGTTTTGCGCTACGAGGTCTAGAATTGCTAAAAATTGAGTTTGAAAATTTGACGTCATCAATTTTGACCAGTTTTTTTTTTCGCTATAACTTGGCCAAAAAAAGAGGTATCGATCTCAAATTTGGTATGTAGATAGAACGTAGTACGGACCATCACATATATTCCGTTTTTTCGAAATTCATTTTTTTATTTTTCAGCTATTATATTCAAAAAATCTATTTTTTTATTTTTGGGGGTCAAAATCCAAAAATTTCACAAATCCGAGATAGCAGTTTTGTAGCCCTCCTAATTCTATACCTCTTATATTTGAAACATTTTTCTGTATCTCTAAAGCTGTAGGCCTGACAGCTCTTCCCGCGAAACCTTTTTTTGGGGTCGAAAATTACAAAAATGGCGTCACTCTGACGCCATTAGCGGCCAACCTATCATAGCCTTTGGAGAAATTTTTGGTCACAATGTGCAATAGCTATTCACGGGAGGGTACTGAAAGTTTGGTGACGATCGGCGCAGCGGTTCTCGAGATATATCGAAAAAACTAAAGGGGGGCATAAAAATGCGCCCCCCCCCCCACCGCCTGGAAGGTTAACCCGCGCGGGGCTGGGGGGGGTAAATTTTACCCCCCCTCGCGAATTTTTGCAATATCTCGAAAACGGCGGCGCGCAGCGCCGCAAAACTTTCAGTACCTTTTCTTACATCAATTTGACACGTTCCCTGAAAATTTGAGCGAAATCCGTCGGATTTTTTTTTGAGAAATTGACGTTTTAGTGACGTATGTTCGCCATTTTCGCCTCAAAAACGGCAAAAGTTCAAACGCCGCTAACATCTTCATTTTTAAAGGAATCAAGACGTAACAAAAAGGTTATACGTAATTCTACTTTGTCTATCAAATGGCTATCTCAGTTTTTTGAAAATTTTGGATTTCGGCCCAAATTTTTTAAAAAACTAATTTTTTTGGGAAAATGATTATAAAATCCAAAATTTTGAGTGTATCGAAAAAACCGGAATTTATGTCAGAGAATTGGTCTATGTGCACCTACATAGCACTTTTTAGAAGAATCGGTTCAAAAATGTGGGAGTTATTCAAGATTTTATGACGTCACGACACAAAAAAAAATTGAAAAAAAAGATTTTTTTGGAAGTTCTAGACCTCGTTCGGAAAGAAAAATAGCACCATTCGATTCGCCGTGAAAAACTGCATCAGATAGACACCTTTTTAGGCCTTAACAACCAACTTCAAAATTTGACCTCACTTGACCCGACCTTGACCTGACCTCGACCTGAAATTCATCCAGAGGTGGTCCATATCACTTATTGAGTTTGCCTATTGAATTCTATGAGTAAAATGACCCATAAAACATGTGTCGCACATGCCCTTTTCTATATTTTGTTTTTTGGTGACCTGACCTGACCTGACCTTGACCTTGACCTCTGAATGATATTGTATGCAACGAATATTGTCTTGGTAGCCTAAGAACACGTTTTGGGCAATCAGTCTCAGTCGATGACTCCATTCTTCGGCAACTACGGTGCAAGGCCGATACTGTAGAAACTTGCAATTTGTACCCTTGACCTGACCTTGACCTTGACCTCAAACTTTAAATTAAGTACATGTTTTTAGTTGTTCGTGATGAGATCTTTCGATTGGCGTTTGATTTTTCCAAATCGGACCATTAGTTCGGGAGATAACAGGGGGGGGGGGTAAATTTACCCCCCCCCAGCCCCGCGCGTTCGGCTGGAGACCCCAGCCCCGCGCGGGTTAAGTCACATGACGTGTCATGATGCACTATAAAATACGTTTCCCAAATGTTACGCTACAGACCAGTAGCCATCCCATAAAGCAACAATGACCAGTTTTCTAAGCCACGCCTCAGTTCCATCTTAACGATGCGGATTAGAGTTGCAAAGTTTCCCTACCGCACTACCGGCATGCCGGTAAATTTTCACTACCGCAGGCTTTTTCGTGGTATCTGGCATGTCTTGCCGGTAGCATGCCGGTATTTTTGATTTTGCACAAAAATAGAAAATATCAGCATATGGTTTAAACTTTGGGCACTAAGAGGCTGTCAAATTATAATTATAGCAATATTAGCCACTGCAAAATACATTTTGTGGTAGAAGTTACATTGCTCAGGGTAGGGATAACACATGGACCTCAGCGATTCACAGGTTTCGTTATAATTAGGATTGTCAAGAATCTACTGTGGTCAATAAATGGAAGAATATTTATTCATGCTGCAAAAGCTCGATCAATCAGTAAGTCTAATGGTATGTAATAGGTAAAATACAACAAAATAAATAAATGTTCATGACAACGTTCCCTAGAGGAAAAGGCAGAATCAAAACACCACAAAACACATTGTTTGGAAACTGGCCTTGAGTCCTGAGATGTGTTCTGAGATACTCTACAAAGTATTTGACACTGAAAATCCAGCTGAAAAGGCAGGTATTAGGTAGCCCTGAGCCTGACTTTGGTCCCAAAAATGAAATGAAAATCAAATAAACTGGCATTTTGTCTCATCTTTACAAGAAAACACAATATGCATAAGCATACAAAATAAACAAAGTGGCGCAGAATAACAGGGGAACCAACTCCAAGGATTGACTTTTTAGATCTTCTCTCCCCTGATGGAAGGATGTAAGATGATGACGTAATATTTATTCGTATGCCTTTTTGGTTTAATTCCTGAAAGGGAATGCATTTTCTTGTAGTGAACTAAACTCACAATGTTGATTACATTAGAATTCAATATCGTTTTGGATCATTCACATCTACAAATCATTTATGAGGCAGTCTGCTACAGTTCAGAAACTTTTTTTTGCAGCAATTTAATCAGCTGGTTAAAAGTCTCTGTTATTATGGCGCATCTGTTTCGAAATCTTTGATAGTTGATAACCTTGTCTTTGGAGAGGAAGATGCTTTGAGAAAGCGGGTAATATATCGTTTTTATGCATATTATTTGGTGACTGTTCTCAGGACAAGTGAGTTTTTCACATTTTCAAATAATTCGTATCTTATTCATGAGCCAGCAAGCCATGGCGAAAAGGAAAAAAGGTGTTGATCTCGCTTCCTCAGGCACATGGCCGAATCTGTGGTACTTTTTATGTTGTGGCCATCTAGATTTCAAAATTTGATTTTGGTTGGTAGGTTCCTGCAACATTTTAGGAGAATGTGGAATAGTAGAACACCTCTGAAATGTTAATGTGATTACTGCTAACTTGAACTGTCCAGTCTTCAGAAACAATTCAGTAATTTAAGTTCTTTTTGTCATTGCTTTTTTGATGCTTTTTTCTTACTGCTTTTTGTAGGCAATACCTCTTTGATTACACGTGATATTTTAACAGTTATAGACTGGAACTGAGTTTCAAAATTGTGGGTATTTGTGGGGCCAACTGAGCCAAAATCATCCTGTTCGTAGTTAGGTTGGACATTGGGTGGCTGCTGGGTGGGAACTGGGATGGGTACTAAAATTGCCAAAGTGTGGCATCTCTTGTAGGGGTAAGCTAGAATCAACATTGCAGTTTTTTTTAGTATGCTGGTAATTTGGTGGTGTTTTTGCTTGGGTCGTGGTAGCATGCCGGTATCCCAGAAAATTTTTGTGGGGCGGGGCGGTGCCGGTAGCAGCCTTTGGGGGAAATTTTGCAACTCTAATGCGGATGGCCAGCTCGTTAGTTCCCCTGTTCCCCGCTGAGCGGCGCTGCTGTCACACTGGTTCGCCCACTCCCCGCTGAGCGGCGCTGCCGTCGTGGTTAGTTCCCCCACTCACCGATGGGCGGCGCTGATGGCGCGGTTCAGCTGGTCCAGCACCAGGTCTCGGCCGGTGCCGGCCGTGCCGGTCAGGTCATGGTACAGCCACAGGTGGGCCGCCTCAGACAGCTGGTAACGCTCGGCGGCGCGCTGGCACTGGGCCAGCTCCTCCTGACACGCGCTGCGGGGGAGGGAGGGAGGGAGGGGGAGGTCAGAAAATGGGGAGGGAGGGGCAGGACGTCAGATGGGAGGGGGCAGGTCATATGGGGAGGGGGGCAGGTGAGACAGAAAGGGGGCGGCGACATTCTCGGAGCACTACTGACTGCGTTGCTGGTAAGATCAGAGGAGCCGGAGATAAGGTTTGGTCCAGGGAGACAATACCCAGCTCAATTAGGGTGAAGTCGTATAAGAGTACGCACTTAGTGGATTTCTTGCTCTCATTTGTTTAATATTTGAAGGAAAGAAATCGCAAATAGGGAATATTAAAGTTCATTGAATTAGCCATCAACCCATGGGGCAACGATCCTTCAGCGTAAATGGAAGTGGTCTAAAACTGACATTTTCTGAACCGTTGCACTTGCGTACTCTTACCATATGGGGTGTGTAAGAGTACGCACGCCAGGCGGGTGGAGTACGCAAGCATATGATCACACACCTATGCAGCTTGCACTGTCCAAATGCTTAACTTCAAACTGAGAAGGCATTTAAGTTAATTCTAGTATCCAAAAAGAAAAACATAAAATAAATCTTTCAAGTCTATAAATCAGGAAATAATCATGTCGTGTGTTTCTTAAAAAAAAATGCACAATCAAAAAGGAGAATAACTCGTATTTGGAAGAATTTCGGGTACGCATCTGCATCACAGTGCTACATTGATGATATACCTACAAAACAATCGTCATTGAGCGATAGATTAATAATTCTATATTTCTGTATATTCGATTTAATGTATAATTCTGCGTACTCTTACCCTCCTGAACAGTGCGTCCTCTTACCGTACATGCAATTCGCGCACAAAACAACCCCGAAACGTTGTGCAAAACTTCGCAAACAGAATATTGCACTGTACAGTATTTCCCCAGATAACCTCACAAGTTTCCCACAACAATCACGGAAATGTTCCTTATCTCAACTGCCAAGTATCAAAATTATTGTACCATATCATAATAATATCATAACGCTCGAAAATAATATTCATCGCCTTAAACTCAACAGCGTCGCCGCTCAACGCCCACGTTCCGTTGGTGACATGCACGCACTGGCGGCTTCATGTCACTTCATGAACTCGACAAACCCGCGTTGCTAAGCAACCGAAACAGCTGATGCGTACTCTTATCGCCCGCGTACTCTTACCCGCCCTTACCCTAAGCCTCGTTGACGAATAATCGACTCCGCTCGAGCAATTAACCCGCGCCGGGCCGGGGGGTGTTTGAACACCCCCCCTTGCAGTTTTTCGCAGATATCTCAAAAACGGCGGCGCGTAGCGCCGCCGTTTTTGGCACACCTGTTCGTGCATCTTTTCCGCACATGTTGTGAAAATTTCAGACCCAGGTCACCTTAGGTCAGGTCACCAGGTCACGCCAAGTGACCTCACCTCAGAAAAAATAAGAATGTTCGTCATAGCTACACCGACTGAACGATTGCCTTGAAACTTTCAGCGATTGATTAGAGCAACACTATCTATAAAATGTATATCTCGGAATTTTGATATCGTTGACCTAAGGTCAGGTCAATTTTGCGGCCTCTCCATTATAAGTCAATGGGAGAAAATTGAAAAGCGCCTGTTTTGCACGAACGCTATTCTAGACACTCTCAAACATCGAGATGTAGGTAAAATAGACACACTGAACCAGAAAATGGCAACTGTGACCCCTCGTTATGTCCCCGAGGTCATCTCAGGTCACGAACAGAATCTAACAGTTTTTCGATGATAACTTCTGATAGAGGCGTGCTAGAGCGCTGAAAACGCCTTAGATGTGTTCGGCTCGACGTTGCGGATCGACTGATATGCAACATGACCTTTTCCGGTCAGGTCATGACCTTGACCCGAGGTCAAATTTTCAAGTTGACCTTTCAAGGTCAAATTATAGTTCATTCGACGCGTCTCGACGAGAGAAACACGATGCTGGCAAAAGTAATGTCATAGCTCTTTTGAGTCAAAAGTTATTGCCGAAAAAACGTTTTTCGTAAAAACGGCTATTTTTGGAGTTTTTGCCTTCTGGAGGCTAAACCGTTGACCTGAGGTCAAATCTGAGAACATTACTCAGAAAGGTCTGTAAAAGGGCTATCGAATGCGCTTTTTGCGGCGCTGTAGCTCTATCGGTTCCCGAGATAGCCGTTGGCAGTTTCCAAAATGTTGAAATAGTGAACATTTGACCTTTGGTGACCTCTGGTGACCTGACCTTTGACCTGACCCAAAAAATGACCGAAGTGTTTTCGTCCTTATTTTGGACGTTCTTTCGACTGCCGCTTACCGCGTGTCGCTACGTGGCCCAGGAGCCGAGTTAGAAGGGGGGGTGTTCAAACACCCCCGCGGCCCGGCGCGGAATTTTAGAGCACCGGCCCGGCGCGGGTTAAGAAAAGAACGAGAGAAAAAGAATTTTCCGCCCTTACGAGAGCGCAGTGATAAATCTATCCCAGAGTATCTTGTCTAACATAAATGCGAGTGCAGTCTCATATCATCGAGTGTTGCCTCAGTGTCTCATCTACGACTGTCTCAGTGTCTCACCTCAGCCTGCCTCCGCGTCTCACCTCAGTAGCGAGTGCTGTCTCCAGGCCGTCTCCAGCTGTGTGACCCGCTGCTGACAGCGCGCCAGCTGACCGGAGGTGGCCGTCCCGTCTGCCAGCGCTCGCTCCAGGGCGGCGCGTACCAGCTCCTCCAGGGGTACGCGGCTGTCGGCACCCACCTCACGCTGGGCAACCTCCGCTGCGCGCGCGCGCGAGAGAGAGAGACGGGATGTTACACAGGAGAAATGAGACGATACAAGGGAGAAACAGACGTTACAAAGGAGAAACGAGACGTTACAAAGGGGGAAAGGAGACGTTACAAAGGAGAAACGAGACGTTTACAAAGGGAGAAACGAGAAGTTACCAGGGGAGAACCGGGACGTTACATAGCGAGAAACGAGACGGGAGAGGCGCTGTTACCGAGGGAGAAACGAGACGGAAAGGGTGGTGTACACAGGGCTATACGGGTACTGAGCGGAGACTGTATGGGAAGGCAAAGAGAACAAAGAGACCGTGATGGATGAAAGGAAAGATCAGACATGACCTAACGGGTTGATGGGAAAAAAAGAATGGTAGGACGTGCAGTGTGCACCACATATTGGATACCCAGCCGACAATGTCCCTTCGAACGAGCCTCGCTCACTTTCTCACTCACTCACTCACTCACTCACTCACTCACTCACTCACTCACTCACTCACTCACTCACTCACTCACTCAATCAGTCAGTCCCTAACATTTCCTTCGCTATCATCTCCTCTCCTCTCCCACCCGTACCAGTGACGCTGATTCCGCATGTGTCGGCCAGGCGGCAGGTCAGTCGCGCCGCCAGTAGCGAAGGTAGCCCCAGTACAGTGCGTCTCAGGTACCCACTGATACACTGACGGAGTGGTGCTGTCAGCTGTCCGTCCGAACATACAGAGAGCTGCAGCTGCGGCATCTCAACACCTGACGAGCAGAAGGATAGCAGGGAGTCAGCGGGACTATACACGAGTCAGCAGGACTAACTATAGACAGCTGCGGCATCTCAACACGTCCTGAGAATGAATATAGACAGTCAGCGAGGGGTTAATGATAAATATAGACAGTAGGGAAATAGAGTAGATAACAGACAGATATGTCTTCAGGCAGCCGCGATATCAAACACCTGGGGAAAGGAAAGATACCTAGAGGGTCAGTGAGGACTACAGACAGTTGGGATTCAGAGGAACTTACAGAGTGATGGGTGCCGAACACTAGCGGCGAGATTTTCATCCAAAACACTGAAGCAGTGATGACAGCAGCAGTAATCGAGAAGCAAGGCGCGAGCATGACAAAGGCAGTGGCACCATGTCAGTGTAGTCGTACCGGCCCCCCAATCCATCAGTTCACCTAGGTAGCTCCCAACGATCTTCCGAGCCTGCAAGTACATAACCTGATCTACCTAATCCGCACATACCGATCAGTCCAGTCCACCAATCCAACTATTTACCATCCACCGCCCGTTCTTACCTGTGTAGGCGGCGGCGTTCTGGAGGCACTTGGTGAAGAAGTTCTGCAGCAGCTCCAGTCGCAGCAGGAACGTCATCAGCTGGAGGACCTCGCGGGTGGCGGCACTGCGCAGCGGCGCCTGTAACATCAGCGGGGGCGGCAGGGGCTTCAGTTGGACCGACATCATTATATCTTCATCTTCGTGTTATCGGGGCAAGAGGCATAATGTTCTGTAGGGCCGTTCTCGCCGATTTCCATTACTTCACTTAGTACTCAGTCTGTTACAGGAGTGGAGTACCAGATCGACTCCCAGTGCTCATCCAGCCTGTTCTTGAAGACGTTGACTGAGGGCGAATGTATGACTCAGTCATTACATTCACCTCGTCAACCCACACGCCCAAAGCGCCTCTCCAATACCCCTCCACTACTCTCCTTCCGCAGCAACATTTTCCTCTGCATCCCTCCTCCATTCCTGCATCTGTCAGTGAACAATCCCTCCTATCATAATTGTGATCCCTCTCATCTGCAACCTGCAGCATTGGTCCCTCCATTCCATCGTCTGCAGTGAGCCCTTTCCTATCGCGTTGACCTCCCTCCCATTCCCAACAGAAACCTCTCTCCCCGCACTGACCCCTCCATTCCCCTTCCCTCAACCCTCCCCTCCCCCAGTCACCCACCATGATGGCGGCGGCGTCTCGTATGCAGTCGACACTGGCCCACTCCCGCAGCTGCGGCAGGCGCGCCACCAGCGTCTCCACCTTGCGCTCCACTGTCTCGAACAGGATGTTGAAGCCCATCAGCAGCATCTGACCTGAGGGTGGGGACAGTGGAGCCGTCAGTCGATCCAAACACTCGGTGTCTATGCTTGCCGCTGGATTATACCCAATAAATGAAAAAAAGAACATAAAAAACATGATACACTACTGTTTTCCTTGACAAATTTAAATCCAGCTGCTGAATCCTTGATGCATCTAACCCGAATCATGAATAGCTCCAGTAATCAATGCCCCTAAGTAACTGACAGCTCTACCCAAACACAAAATGCTTGGAACAAGAGTCAAGCTGCAAGGCTAATATGCTATAACTTTACTCAATCCTAACTCACATGAATACGATATAAATAGAGATTCACCCACCTTGCGTCATCTGTCCGTCGCGTCGGTTGACCTGCGCCTGGAACTGAGCGAGCAGGGCTCGTGCCGTAGCCACGGCCGGCTCGTGCTGCGAGGGTACGCCCAGCACTAAGTGGCGCACGTGCTGCTCCAGAGAGCCTGCCGGGGGGAGGGGGGGGGGAGGGTCAGGCGGCGCTCAGGATTTGGACTTAGGGACGGCAGGATAGAGGCAGTATCGTCGGCAGTCATGACTTCCGACATTTCGGCATCCTCTTATTGAATGCTATATGGTGAGATATAAGTGTTATAGGTGCTGCAAACAGCTGCCACTAAACCGTCCTTTCCTCAACAGCAAACGAAGAATAGTCGCTATTCCTCTATTCTATCACCAATCAATAGCTTTAACCTCAAAGCTGTTCTTTAATATATTTCTTCAATTTATAAGTCTCTAACCACCCACTAGCATAGCAAAGTCTCTTCTTTTCTCCCTCTATCAAACCAATCCACCTACATGTCCTCCCATTTTCTCCCATTACCATCTATCTCACCCATAAGCTGATGGAGCGGCACTCCGGCGGCGCTGATGATGTCACTGACACTGGTGATGGTCGTCAGCACCGAGGGCTCCTCCTGCTGAGAGTACCGCAGCCCCTCCGGCAGGATGATGCTCGTGAACTTGGTCTTCAGGTCCTGCCAGGCGAAAACCGATGTCGTGAGTGCGAAGACGGATATACTCGTATACATCGAAACAGTGAAGAAGTTTACTCAACAAAATGCGCAGGCTGTTTTGGGCGGGTGATTCAGAACAGGAATAATTAGAATCTTCCCCGAAAGTTTGTAACACTGCACATCTTCAACTTTATATATCAATATAAGCCGATGCCCTCCGCCACATTTTCAACTGCAAACCTCTCACGATGGCTTTCAATCAGCATGTCAAATTACCATCCACCCGTCCCCTACCATTTCCCCTGTCCGCCCCTCCCTCCCCCTCCCTTTCTCTCTCCCTCTTTACCTCCTCTCTCCCCTTCCCTCCACCCCTCTTCCCTCACCTGCAGAGCCTGCATCACATCCTGGGCCGCGGCCAGGTCATCCAGCGCCTCTTTAACTGCTGAGGGCACCTCCTGCTTTGACCAGCCAGCGGTTACCAGACGACCGAGCCGCTCCAGCCAGCACTGGGCGGCGGCCAGCTCATCGACAAACCAGCGGCCCTCTTGGGAGGTCATCTCGACCAGACGGTCCCCGGCGCCTAGTGTATAGAGGGGAGGGCAGGTCAGGTCAGACAGGTGACCAGCGGCCCTCCTGGGAGGTCATCTCGACCAGACGGTCCCCGGCGCCTGTATAGAGGGATAGGTCAGGTCAGACAGGTCACCAGCGGCCTTCCTGGGAGGTCATCTCGACCAGACGGTCCCCGGCGCCTGTAGAATAGGGGGGGGGAGGGGAGGTAAAACGTCACGTCAGGCAGGTCAGGTAAGATCAGAGGCGGGTCCCCAAAGCCTGACGTGGAGGTTAAGTCAGGCCAGGTCAGTTCGAACCCAGACAACCAGAAGGCGTAGCCTTAGCCCGCGAAAAGATTGATAGACCCTAATCTTAACATTCACATTTCACAGATACCGTCAGTTAAGTGAAATCAACTGCATCAAGTGGAATATAATGGTTGACACCATATGCCACATCGAATTTAGTAGTTACATTTGAAGCATCATGGTAAGAAAGCCCCAGTTGTTAGGAATTGACGACAGACACCACAAATTAAATCTAATACCTATGCATCCACTCTTTTCCTTGACGCCTTGAGTCCTCATGCGGGGTGGAGATGAGAAAATTAAGCTCAACGTGCGCGGTGGTCTCCATCTGAGGGATGTGTACACCACAGAGAGGTGTAGTGGGGACAGTTTACACTCAAAAGAGGTGTAGTGAGGGCAGTTTACACTCAAGAGAGGTGTGGTGAGGGGAGGTTAATTTACAGAGAGATATAATGAGCAGAGTTCCACCCACCATGCGCGGTGGTCTCTAGCCTCAGCAGCTGCCGTCCGGCCGTGTACAGAGCCGACAGCAGGGTACAGCGGCGGGCAGCGGCCTCCTCCTCTGGACCCGCCTGGGCCAGCTCAAACAGACGCTCCAGTTCGGTGCGCAGCTGGGCCGGGTCGGCGCTGCCCACCCCGGACTCGAGCTGGGGGGAGAGGGATACAGTCAGAGAGAGCTGGGCCGGGTCGGCGCTGCCCACCCCGGACTCGAGCTGAGGAGAGAGAGGGAGTCAGAGGGAGAGGGAGGGAGCTGGGCCGGGTTCGCGCTGCCCACTCCAGACTCGAGCTGAGGGGGAGGGATACAGTCAGAGAGAGCTGGGCCGGGTCCGCGCTGCCCACTCCGGACTCGAGCTGAGGGGATAGAGGGGGAGTCAGAGGGAGAGGGAGGGAGCTGGGCGGGGTCCGCGCTGCCCACTCCCGACTCGAGCTGAGGAGAGAGAGAGAGAGTCAGAGGGAGAGGGAGGGAGCTGGGCCGGGTCCGCGCTGCCAACGCCGGACTCCAGCTGGGGGGGGGGGGGGGGAGGGAGGAGTCAGAGGGAGAGGGAGTCAGAGGGAGAGGGGGTAGGAGTCATGTCATGAGAAAAGGATACATTAAAAAGGGAAAATGACATAAAGTATGACAAATATTTTCTTATGTTGGAACACCTTGCTTCAAACAGGATAAAGGCAGGTCGAAATTATAACATAAAAACAGTCACTGACCAATAAAGTAATCATCAACTACCCCTAAATCACTCACCTCCTGGATTCGGTAGTTGTTGGCCGTCTGGATGTGCTGGTACTGAGCGCGCACCTCTGTCAGAAGTCTCGCCCGGGTGGCCGTGTAAGGCTCCGAGCCGAACACGGAACGGAACTGGCCGCGAACCTCGTCCAGTCTGCAGAACAGAGATTCAGATAGTCAGATAAACAGATAATGCACGAATGACCGCGAGCCTCGTCCAGCCTTCAGATGAGATGCAGAGACACTCATATAAACAGATAACAGATAACAGATAGTCAGATACGCCGATTTATTTATTTATTTATTAGACTTCACGAGGCAAATTCATGAAACATGGCTATTCCTAGCCTCAGGTTCGCGGCCAGCCGATACATAAACTGGCCGCGAACCTCGTCCAGCATGCAGAAGACGAGTAGATATGGACAGGCAGATACAGATAATCCACTCAGCTGGAAATACCGGTCTGACCGCAAACATTTGTAACACCCATAACCAATACAGACTAATCCACAAATGCCACAAAGCATAATATGCCAAGAAATATACACATACGTCATATACGACGATACAGGCACACTGATTTGGGTTCGCACCAGATTTTCTCTATTATTCTCTTTCTTTCCTTCTTCCTCTTATTCTCCCTCCCACTCTCTCACCTCTCAGTATTCAGTTGCTGTCTCAGCGCGGTCAGCCAGGCCAGGTAGCACCGCACCCGGTGCGTCCCCCGCAGCTGCGAGGGCGGCAGATAGGGCAGCAGGGCGGCCATCTGGCGCAGGGCCGATACCGCCGACTGTAGCGGACGCAGCAGACGCTCCGAACGCTCCCGGAGCAGGTCGTCCATCTCGGTACACTGGGGGGGGGGGGGGGGGCGGGTCAGAGTCATAGGGTCGGGACGGGTCATAGTCAATAGGTCGGGGCGGGTCATAGTTGAAAGTCACCCCAGATCAGGACGGGTCATTGTCGACAATGGTGTGAATTACTGTAGGAAAGGTATAGGAAGGTAATAATCTATAAGCTTCTGGTAAGAAACAAGCGACGGAAATAAAAACATCAAAGATCAACAACAAAACACATTATTCAAAACATATTTTTGCGTTGCATAATGAGCAGAAGCAATGGGACCAGAAAAACTATCCTATGACCGAGCAAAAAAAAAAAAAAATCCACCGCATGGTGTCAGCCTATTTTAGTGCCGACGAAAACAATGGTTACCTGCTGAGCGAGCTGCTGCTGTCCGGCGGACACCAGGAACTCGAGGACAGCCGGCGGACACGGCGACAGACCGTGTCCGGACACCGCGTCACTCCACTCCAGCAGCTGTCCGCTGAGCAGCACAGAGTCCGCCGTCTGCGCGGACACATAGGGACACAGTTCAGCCGTCACAGACACGCGGACAGCCGGACACATTACTGTCCGCTGAGCAGCACAGAGTCCGCCGTCTGTGCGGACACAGGACACATGGGACACAGTTCAGCAACGAGACAGTGACTGGCAGAGTGCGGACACATTACTCAGTATGACTGAGCAGTCTAGAGTGTATCGATTTGAGGGTTTTTATTCCAGATTGAGAGGAAACTGTCGGATAAAGTGGCGCTATATTCTTGTAAGTAAGAAAAACACAAAATCGGTGTCCTGCGGTCAGTATTCTCTGGTCCGCGCCCACTTCTTTGAGACCATTTCGCCGTAACACGGGCTCCTATGGGATAACCTACTAGCAACATCTAGAATTGTAGGTGGCGCTAGCGTCGGCATGGCGTTTTAACACAGTTTGTGGTGTCTGATGCTGATCTTACTCACTCAATAGCGTTTGTTTTTCTTAATTGCCCATAATAATTTGTTTCAGACGTCTAGTTCAACAACTTCAAATGACAGTTAGAGGTTCCTTTGACATACTTCATAGTATAAAATAACAAAACATACAGGGAGTGTGGAGTTTTAGCTACACATGTGCCTATTTTGCCCTAGTTTTGCTCTCGGCTCTCGGCCTAGGTCCTGTTCTGTCTGGGGCAGATCGAAACCTATCTTATACCTTGGTGTGTATAGGAGAGCGTTACATGCGTTGGAAGGCTTGAATGAGTTGAATGGACTTTGAATGCCCATATCTGTATCATTATCATTAACAGTATCAAACCGCATCTATGCACTTTTCTCCTACGCTATGTTTTCGTGCTGTTCTCATGTCTCCTGTTCTATGATCACTGTATGTTTGTCTGGGTCACAAATGGCCATTGCTTTTGAGCAAAGTAATAGAAATACCCTAAAAACTAAAGTGCATTGTGTACACCAGTGCCTATCGCGCACCAGCCCAGTTCACCGTCAGTTAGCAAAGAGCTCTTCATTTAGTGCCTGTGACGCTTGAAACGGCTGAGCGGCAACAGAGGCAAAGTGTGTACGGCACATGAGTCAAATAATAGGATTCTGGATTATGTATGAAAGCAATGGTGAAAGGTATTTTATTAACTCGGTTGGCGCGGCGGAGAAGGACCGACGTAAAAGTCGGTCTCGTCATTGGCCTCGACAAGTGCGCCGAGCAGGGCCCGAACGTGAGCTAGCTACAGCAGGGGTCATATCACGGACTGGTTGACAGTCAATCTGTGCCGGTGACCGGGCTCTTGCATGTGATCCTGTATTAAAACACCGCAGACTCACGAGTCCTGGTTGACTAGCCATCTCTCGCATGCGGCAGTTCAGTTTGGTAGTATGCCTATTCCACCTACATAGACGCACCTGTTCGGGTACAGATAGTGCGCTGTTCCGGTACAGACGGCACCCGTTCCGTGCTTCCATCCTCAGGATACTGAAATCCTTCTCCTGCACGCCGAAACCCCCTCCGGGCTGGACAGGCAACTTTATCTCATGCGGGCTGCTCCCTTGGAGCGGCACCGCGGCTCCCGAGGGAGCTCACACCGTAGCCGGGTGCAGTGAGTACTTTGGGGATGGGTGGCCTGTTCTCTGGACGGGATCAGCCCCGGTGACTCACTAGGGTGCCTGCCCAGACCAATGTCACCCCCTAATTCCTATCATCCTTCCGGCTCTGAAATGGTCTTGTCGGACCGAAAGAGCCTAACCCAACAAAACAAACAAACAAACAAATACAGACGGCATCACTCGCTGGCCGCGCGCCGGGTCTCGAGGGGACGGTGACAGGCGACGGCACTGTCGCCGCCGTTGGTCGCGGTGACACGGGCGGCAGGAAAGTCACGGGACCTGCACCATAGTGCGGTGAATGGTTGGGCCTTCGCCGGCAGTAACTGTTTATTTGGGATGCGAGCTGTATGTAATACTACCAGCGCACGATATTCACCGTCTTCGCCGCGCGGTAAGAGAGGAGCCCACGGCAGTCCGGTAGGATAGGCTGAGTTGTGACAAGTTCTACCCCGAAAGTGACCACCTTTGGGGCACTGAGGGACCGCTTGACGTGGCCACTCGTCGGTTTCGGTTTCACCAACTGGCTACTAATTTTAACAGCAGACGTTCGGAGACTGCTAAGTGGGTAGTTGTTCGTTATGCTTGGTTTGAGCCTATGGGTTAGTCTATTCGAGAACATTTTAGGGCCGTGGTATGATGAATAAATGAATTAGCGGGGAGAGAGCAATATCAGAATAAAGTCGACCATCGGGCACCGGCTGTGTGCCGCAGCGTCTCAGTCAAAAGACACCATAATGGCTGCAATGCTCTGAGTCAGGCTATGCTGGGATGATAAAACACGAGAGGGGGAGGGCAATGTAAGGTTCAATCAACCAAGGCTCAATCGGTTCAATCAACCACTGACGACTAGTCCGCTGTACCGCTGGGACGGCATTTCAGCGTCGGGACATACTGTTTTGACGGCAAGTCACAACGGGACAGACTAGAGCATACATTTGTTGAAATGGTCACTCCGAAGCTGACTTCCATCGGTTGTCTGCTAGGCGGACCGTTAATCCGGAACACGGAGAAGTGCAAGCAAGGATGATGGTGAATTAGTCGTAAGATAGGACAGAAAGCAAACTGGCTCACCAGTCACCAGTTACCGAGCACCTGACCAGTGTCCACTTTGACATTTGGTCGCTGGTAACACAATTGTACCGGCTATATGTAGTCCTTAAAGTACGATGCGGCAGGAGCTCAGTTGCTAATAGTTGCCTAATCTGCTACTTACTTGTTCGTGTTTAAGAGCTCAGGGCGCTAATGCATAGGTAATGTGTATTGTGTTATGTGTGATAATGTGTGGAAAGCTATGCGTTTGCAATGGAAAAACACTTGCAATGGAAAAAAACAGCAATATACCAACACCAATGATGTAAAAAATGTGCAAAATTTAATCCGAATGGCTTTTTTACGTTTACAGATGTCTGAAATTAAGTTAGAGACAGTCTGGAATCACTGCCATCTAGCGTCAAAAGGGGAGAACTAAAGCTTCATCCTACGTCCGCAGCAGTTGGAATGGGGTTTACAAAAACCGTTCCGGGTCAGTCAATTTTGAGTTTTGAGGAAAATGTTGCGCCCAGATATTATTTTTATGTCCTTGCGCCAAATAATATGCCAGTTTCCTTGCCAATTTCGGTTATCGATACACTCTACAGTGAGCACACAACAGCAAGTCGTTATCGACCTGGCCTGGTACCCCCACCCCTTACCCCGCTGTTCCCCTCCTGACCTGGTAGGCGGTGTCCCACACTGTCCACTGTTTGATGCCCTCCTCCAGCCGACTGTGAGCGGCCGACACAGCCATAGAGACGCTCCGGTGACGCGCCCACCGCTCCGGCAGACTCCATACGCTGCAGAGACAGGACAGGGACGGTCAGCGAGAGACGAGCGGGGGTGGGGGTTAGTGGGAGATGGGGCAGCCAGTGGGAGGGACACGTCCCTACGTGAGGGACGAGCTCCCAGTGGGGATGGCAAACATCTCTCAGAAAGGGGGATAAGGACACACAGTAGGGAGATGGGTTATGGAGGCATGTAGGGGACAGAGATTATCGAAGAGCAACATACTTGGGGACTACACACTACATAGTGACTTATACAGACTGAAAGTCAGATCAAGCAGGTCAAGCACTCAGCATTGAAAAGAGATCCCGCACTAAAACGCTGAACTGCATGTGAACATTTCAAATCAGAAGCGACCTCCTGAGTTACCTGTTAGGCTAAATACCGACCTCTTTGGCGCAAAATTGTCCGCTGAGTTCGCTGAGTTTGCTGAGCGTGACAGCACGGCTGAGTTTATCTGAGCTTGCTGAGCCCACTGCCTACCTGCTGAGCTGATTGCTGAGCGCAGCACCCACCTGCTGAGCTGGTTGCTGAGCGCCTCCGTCAGCAGTGCCTGCTGCTCTGAGAGGGACCGTCCGCTGTCCTCCAGCGAACTGAAGGCGCCGTGCAGACTCAGGTACTGGGTAAACTGGTCTCGCAGCTTCTCCAGCGCGGCCGTCAGCGACCGTCTGAGCGCACAGGGAGAGCAGGGTTACCCGAGGTCACACAGGGGTCGCGGAGGAGTCAAAGATGGGTAATGACAAGGTCACGTTAGAGCACATACGTTGCGAAGAGGCCGCGCTATAGAGCACGATCATACTGAATTTGAACGCTCCACGAGGAGCAGTCATACTAAAATTTCACTTGATGAAGCATCATGTCATAAAAAGACACCCAAGTCGTCCTAGAGGCTACTACCCGAATAATCGATGCATACTCCGCTAGGATTTGCAATATGCTGTAATGAATAAAATATGGAAGGACATGCAGTTGCATACCATATTCGATATAGCCACTCATCCAATGGGCAATAATTTGTCACATCCACCTTCACAATACAGCGTTTCTCTATGGACCCTCTCCGCCCATTGCGACCCTCACTTGTTCTCTGTCCACTCGGGTTTCATCTCCGCCACTTGTACACAGAACAGAGAGACGGTCATGGCTCGCTCCACGCGGCGACGACCGGAGCTGTCCTGGGCCGCTCGTCGGCCTCCGTACACGGCACCTAAAGGGGCGAGAGACGGGAGGGGTTTGAGTTAGAGCGGGCAGGAAGGGCAACCTGTCCTGGGCCGCACGTCGGCCCCCCGTACATCGCACCTATATGGACGAGACGGGAGGGGTTAGAGTTAGAGCCGACTGTCCTGAACCTGGGCGGGACCTGAATGAAGGGGGATGAAGGGGTTACAACAGGCAGGAAGAGCAGACTGTCCTGGGCGGAATGCCGGCCGTCGTACATAGCACCTAAAGCCTGAAACAGACTCTTTCCGAGGTCAGAAAATCGCATGCGAGAGACTATTCAAATACATGGAAGCACGCTCGCATCAATCGCACGCACCTCCCGCAATCGATTGATGCGAGAATAATTTCAATGTATTTGAATAGGCTCTCGCATGCGATTTCCTGAACGCGGAAAGAGTCTGTTTCAGCCTTAAAGCGAGGGGGAGGGGATGGGGGGGGGGGGGGGGTTAGCGCGAGGCGGCCTGCCCTGGGCGGCCCACTGGCCTCCGTTCACTGCACCTCAAGGGAAGGGGGAGAGTGTTAGAGCAGCTACGGAAGCAGCTCCAGCCTCCGGCCTACGTAAACCTCACCTAGGGAGAGTGTAGGAGATACTGACGATTAAGGCACACCAGGCGTGCAGTTATACCAGGGATCCTTGTTTGTTTATTGAAGCTTTAGGGCGCGTCGACTACTGATGTCATTTTGCTTCCGAGATCATTTTACCAGGGCTGCAATCCCACACGCTCCCCCACTGACCTGTGAAGCCGGCGTCGTGAGCGGGCGTCCAGTCGACCAGCGGGTCGTACACAAACGCCTCTAGGAGGGTCAGCAGCGTCTCACTGCCGGCGCGCAGGGTGGCCAGTACGTGCTCACAGCCCAGACGGAATGGTCCTGACGGGGAAGAATAGGGGAGATTAGTACAATATGTCAGTTCACAGTTCAGTCAGAATGGTCCTGATGGAAGATTAGGGGAGATTAGTACAGTACGTGCTCACAAATCACACAAAACGGAGGGAAGAACCCGGGGAGATAAGCACAGCATAAGATCACGGACAAGGAGAAACGGACAAACAGCGCTAAGGTCTTGAACAGTCTTCGATCTTTAGAAATTATAAACTAGTTGCTTTAACTACTTTTTAACTGACGTGGAAGATACTAGCCTGACAATCTGCTGAGATATTCGTACGTCAGCAACTGAGTCCTAACCTTTGGGAGTCTTGTGACGCCGAGTGTATGCCCTACCTTACGACCCCGTGAGGCCCATCGTCAAACTCCTACCTTAGGGCTTCGTGACACAGAGCGTCAACGTAATATACGTCTCACCACGCTACCCACCAGCTCCCAGCTTTCCAACCCGGCAGACCCAGGGCCCAAACACCCACCTTCGAGCCCCGTGACGCCGAGCGCGGTTCGCAAGTTCTGGGTCATCCTGTAGGGCACCCGCTCGGGTATCCGCAGGCTGCGCCCCTTCTCGAAACACACGTTGTAGTCGATGTGGACCACCTGAGGGGGAGGCGGGATGAAAGAGGTTAGTAAACACGGTGTGGCTACATGAGATTGAAGGTCTGACATGCTTGTTCTGACAAAGCTCGTTCGAAAATTTGCTAATCGAATAAAAATATTTTTATTTCTTTTCAGCAATAATATGTAGAGGAAAGCGCCATAGCAAATGTTTTTAACCCTCCCTATGTCGCTGCGGTTGAAATTATAAAAATGAATTAGCCATGTCCTAATTCCGCATTTATCTTCTCAGTCCCATCCCTCAGCAGAGTGATGCAAATGGGGTTCACGAGTGGCCATAAATACGAAAAAGGCCCAAAATTCAAGTTCACTTAATCGAATAAATCGTAATATGGTCAGGTAGGCAAATGTTTGAGGTGTCTGAAAAAGTATGATTTTAATGTTTTTGTCAAAACCGGCCTCGTGTATGATTGTCAGAAGTCGAGACATTTTCGATGTCGTAAAATGACTGTCAGGTACTTGAAATTCAAGCGCCGCTAGCGTGCGCTCATGTCATACGAGTACAAACTGCAAAAATTATACATAAAAATGATCCACGAAACCTGCTGCTTCTAATGCCACGTCATAAAAAGCCGTATCTATTTTGGTTTGGCGGTGAGCTAACTATTTGTAATCATGTTGCAACCGCAGTTTTTTAACCAAAAATATTTGCTTTCAATTCACCTACAGCACTTCACACAGTGTGTGTCCGTTAGTGCACCATATCATGACATTCCCTAATCATTTCTGAGTCGCATAATGAAAGAATTAAGGCGCTAGCACAGGGCTGACCGGCGCTACAGAAGTTTTCGTCCGGCACGGTCGGGTGCCGCGGCGCAGCGGGCGGCCCGGGCGGCCGCGCCGCCGCTCCGCCCGGACGCCGCGCGGCGGCACCCACCCGCCCACTGCGCGCCCACTGCAGCGCCCGACCGCCCGGACAAAAACCTCTGTAGCGCCGGTCAGCCCTGTGCTAGCACCTTAATTTTTTCACGATGCGACTCAGAAATGATTAGGGAAGGCTATGGTATGGTGGACTAACGGGCACACACTGTGTTAAGTGCTGTAGGTGAAACGAAATCATTCTTTTTTTTCTTAGTAAAAAACTGCGATTGCAACATGATGATAAATAGTCAGATTACCGCCAAAGCGAATGAGATACGGCTTTTTGTGACCCGGCATTAGAAGCAGAAGGTTTTGGGGATCATTCCCATGCATAATTTTTTCAATTTGTACGAAATGAACGCAAACCAGCGGCGTTTGAACTTGCGAGTGTCTGACCGTCATTTTACGACCTAGAAAATGTCACGACTTCTGACGATTATACACGAGGCCGGTTTTGACAAAAACATGAAAACCATGTGATTTCAGATGCCCCAAACATTTGTCTACTCGGCCATATCGCAATTAACTCGATTTGGTAAACTTGACTTTTGGGTATTTATGGCCACTCGTGAACCCCATTTGCATCACTGTGCTCAGGTCACAGTGTCTCAGTTCCACAGCGACCACAGCTTCCCTGTCCCATCTCCCCGTGTTTATACCTCCGCCCCCACAGTCCCCCCTCCCCCGACCTACCTCTCCTGTGCTGACATCCAGCAGCAGGTTGTCCAGATGCCGGTCCCCCAGACCGATCAGGTAGCCAGCCATCGACATGACGGCCATGGAGCGGGTGTAGGCCTGGGTGGCCGACCACCAGGCGCCGGCGCTGCTGGCGCCCAGCCACAGCTCCCTGGGAGCGGCGGTAGCGGGTTCAAATCCAGCCGACGGAGGATTCATATATGTAGTAGGGGTGGTGACTGGTGTGTTATGGTACACAAGCTGGCTATTGTTTGATAGTTTTCCTTGGCATTGATAGCAAATTATTCAGTTACTTAGTCTTACACAGTCAGCCTGCACTTTGGTTTCGTTCACTACCTAGCCTCCTTTATTGGAACCGTGATAATGCTTGGTAAAAGATACCATCGACCTCGGTTTCAACAGTGAAGATCTGGCTAGAAACGGCTTCCTCTTGTACATAATATAACAAATCTATGACGAAGACATAAAATCAAGCCAACGCTTTCAGCTATAGCATCCACCGAGTCTCCAAACTCAGAAACAGGGATAACGACACCCAAGATTATATGCAGCCCCTAGGGCCCATATCCACGCCATCATGAATCCGTTACATCTCCCACGGTATAAGGACCCACCTGGCCAGTATATCGGGCGGCGTGTCCTCCTGCAGCTGCTCCAGCACGGTGACCAGCACGTCCGTGGGCCAGTCTCGGCGGGAAGAGTCGGCCGACAGGCCGGCGGAGCGCAGCAGCGGCTGCAGACGGGCCGTGAACAGGTCCGATGGACGCGGCACGGAGGCTGATACTGGGCCGGCTGAGAACGGGAGGGGGGGGGGTGAGGGAGGGAGAGAGAGAGAGAGAGAGAGAGAGAGAGAGAGAGAGGGAGAGAGGGAGAGAGGGAGTGAGGGAGAGAGGGAGAGAGAGATAGAGAGATAGAGAGAGAGAGGGAGAGAGGGAGAGAGAGAGAGAGAGAGAGAGAGAGAGAGAGAGAGAGAGAGAGAGAGAGAGAGAGAGAGAGAGAGAAAGAGAGAGAGAGAGAGAGAGAGAGAGAGAGAGAGAGAGAGAGAGAGAGAGAGAGAGAGAGAGAGAGAGAGAGAGAGAGAGAGAGAGAGAGAGAGAGAGAGTCGATTCCGCAGACAACGAAGCTGACGCGTCAAATAGATAAACTACTGATTCAATGGCAAAAATAAATGCAATGCGTACGCCAACAATAATACAAGCGACAACCTACGGAAACACCCTCACCACATGACTGTAACACACGGGTACACGTCGTGTTTCGATGCGTACCCCATACTAGCATCTCTGATACGTACCGGTACCGTTAGCAGTGGCTGCCCGCTGCTGCCACCGTTTGTACAGTCCGAACACGGGCGTGCTCCCCTCAAGCCACTGGATGAGACCGGAGCGTGGGCCGAGAGGTACCACGGCGTACCGGCGCGCGCGGTACCGCTGCCCCTCCCTGCAGAGGGTACCGGGGTACAGACACTGTCACATGGGTGCCCAAGTACAACGGGGAGAGGCCAAGGCTGCCATCTCACACAAGCGTATCAAACGCAATGGTTTTAGCGCTCAAACGCAATGATTTTAGCACTAAATGTTTGCAATGTTATATTACGCAGGTAGGTGTGCTATGGCAGCACATGAAGTCTTGGCCATTAGTATGGAAAATCCCTGCCTAAATGACTCAGTTATGACTAAGTTCTGGGTATTAGCAGATCACAGCGCTGCTTTGCGTATCAAAGGCTCACTGATCTTCAGGTTTAACGCCAATCCTGCATCGCGAACTCCTCCCACTATAAGGATCGGGGCAGTGACGGCGCTCCACTCACTCTGTCGGCTTGGCCAGCATCTGGTTAGTGATGGCCAGCAGCTGCATGATCCGTTCGTCCAAGTGAAGGTCCTCCAGACCCTTGAACAGGTATGGGTAGCTGCCGGGGAGAGAAGATAAGGTCAACAAAGGCGAGCGGACGACTGCAGGGGGAAAGGGCACGCCTCACGACCAAGAGTTGCGTTGCGTGGAGTTGCGTTCGGCCGAGAGGTAAGGTAACAAGCAGGGGATTGGATGAAAGGCGAGGGAGAGGTGAGAGAATCAATAACGATGATTAACATGGCATTTTTGTTTAGGACAGCACCAACACTCCAAGATCATCACAATTTTAAGCGTTAGCAGCCTATGGCATTCTCTCCTGCCCGGCAGACATCTCCCATCCCACCGCTCCCCCACTACACCCTTCACATCTCCTGCGCGCGCACCTGCGTCCATCCGAGCCACGCAGGTGTAGTTTCTTGGGCCGCGTCTTGGTGGGCAGGATGGTGACGGCATGATCGATACCCGTCACCGTCAGACTCGTCTCCGTTACGCCCGGCATCGTAACGGCCGTGTCACGCAGCTCTGACGGGAGGAGGCGTCACGCGTCACAATAGGGAGGAGCGGGGTGTGTGTAGCTGGAGGGTCAGGCCATTGTTAATTTCAAAATGAAAAAATAGATAATTTCAACTCCGGGTACCTATGAAATATAACGTGGTGGGGGTATGCTGCATGCCATGAATCATAAAAAGTAGTTAACCTGCCGGTATTGGTGATATACTTCGTAGCCTGAGCCTCGCTGCCCTTACCTCCTAATATGGACAGTATGCTCGGCAGGCTATACCTGCCAGTACGGGCGATAGATGTAATTCATTCTTACCTGCCACAGTGCTGGCGATGTGTTACGTGGGCCAAGCATTTGCCCCTTAACTGCCAGTACGAGCGATATGCTCGATTTTATCTGTAACGCTCAGCGGCCGCTTACCTGCCAGTACGGGTGATATGCTCGGTCCCTCACCTGCTAGTACGAATGATATGCTCGGCAGGCTGAGCTACTACCCTTACCTGCCAGTACGGGCGATATTTCCGGCAGGCTGAGCTACTACCCTTACCTGCCAGTACGGGCGATATGCTCGGCAAACTGAGTGTCTGCGCCGCCCTGCCGCTCAGTCGCTGCTGCAGGGAGCCGGCCAGTCGTCGGAACGGCTCCCAGGCGGAGCGCGGAGCCCACAGCTCCGAGGGCTGGCGCAGCTCCGCCAGAGCTGCCTCAATGTCGGACTCTGGTGGGGAAAGAGAGCGGAGAGTGAGCAGAGGGGGTGAGTATAGGGGAGTGGGTAACGGGCGGCCCTCTCTGCTGAGCACATATTGTCCGAAATGTCACGGACGGTTACAATTAGTGAACTAAGACCATAACTGAGGCTGGTTTGTAATACAATATGTGCGTCCCTTTATCTCTTCACACGATACGTTTTGCGTAACTAGCAAGTGGCAAATGCTACTGTCTCCTAAATGATTATTTAAGTATATGTTGATGCAGAAGTATATGGTTACGTAATCCAAACATGAACAATCAAACGGCTCCTATACGTGAACCGAGGCAGATAAGACTAGGCGGGATTTGGGAGGCAATAATTAAGCGGTGGCCGCACTCTACTCACGGTACAGTTTCTGGAACATCTTCTCATGTGGTGTCTCCGGCGGCGCCGAAGTGATGGTGTGCAGCTTTTCCAGCATGTACAAGATCTGCCGAGCACGCATCAGGCGTGGCTAAGTCTCACTCTTGGCTTCACCACGAGGGTAAAACAATAACGTGCAATAGAGGAAATAAAAGTGGAATAAAGGAAATAAATAAAGAAAATGAAAGACTGACACCGGACTCAGATACTTCACTTATACCGGATACAGGCACATCACGATGGAGACGGTACAACTCTGGGGTCGACCTCAAACACTTGTTACGGCGGCACCAAGGAGTATACAGACGCGTCCTGTCCTGTCGCATCAGCTAGTCCCATCCCTCCAACCCCAATCCCCTTCCACTCGCTCCCTCTCTCCATCCCGTATCGCTCACTCACCGGCCGCACTGCGATGCTGTACTTGTCGGTAGCGATGGCCGTCCTCTCCTGTTCAGTCAACGTGTCCCTCTCGGCCACCTTCTGTAGCTCAGAGGCCAGCCCGGCCAGCCGACGGGTCGCCTCAGCCTGGTGCTGCGCCAGCGCGCCGGCCCACAACTCGTCCCAGAGCAGGGTGACGCGGCGTAGTTCTCGGACTAGGACCGTCACGTCGTCGATGGCCGCCGGAGTCTGAGAGAGGGACGGGTGTGACGGTTAGGGATGCCGTGACGGGATGTAAAGGTGATGTGAGGAGGCACTCAGAGTGAGGGGGCTGATGTTTATAGTCGTAATGTTTCGGAAACTGGTGATTTATGTTGCGAAAGCTGTTCTAACGTCGGAAGTTTCGAAGTAATCCCTAAATGCGTTAGAAAGAATATCTTAAAATGAATAATTATACAGGAGCCTTTTCAAGGGAACGCGAAAACATCCAACGATCGCCAAAACTAGCCCGTCAGTAAAAAAGTTCCTTCAGAGTCCATCAGTCCACCCATGTCTCCAAGCTCTGAGGATCCATAGAAATCTTAAACGTTGCGATATCTATGCGAGGAACGCCCTCCCCGCTGCCTGGCAGTCGTCACCCTCCCCAGTTTCCAGCCTCTGGGCCGTCGATCCAAAGCTGAGCACCTGTCGGCTGACCAGCCCTCTGGCCGCGCCACTGACCCGTTTTCGGAGTGTGTCCACCAGCGCCGAGTAGCTGTCGGCTCGACGGGCCGTCTCCGGGTCCTCCTCTGCCTCCTCACCGTCCCGGTCCTCCCCATCAGCTGCGGCACAGCGAGGAAGGGCCGTCAGAGAGCGAACGGCTGTGTACTGAGCCGAGAACGATAGTCAACGCGTCTCAGGAGGAATCAAGCCCAGGGTATGGTACAGACAGGTTTGGAAGGCATGGCTGAGGCCGTGGCGGCGAAAATCACCTTTAAAGGCCACCTAAGCAGGCACCAATCATCCTCTCTCCCCTTACTCCCTCTTTCTGCCTCCTCACTCACTCACTCTTTATCCATTTATTTATCTGTCTCTCTGTCTCTCTGTCTCTCTGTCTCTCTGTCTCTCTGTCTCTCTGTCTCTCTCTCTCTCTCTCTCTCTCTCTCTCTCTCTCTCTCTCTCTCTCTCTCTCTCTCTCTCTCTCTCTCTCTCTCTCTCTCTCTCTCTCTCCAATCCCCTCCCTCTCTCCCTCCCTTCCTGTCGTCCCACCTGTTTCCGTTGCGTCGGCACGTGCCGTGTCGCTGCCCACCACCGCCGGGAAGACGATCAGAGGCGGGTCGTCGTCGGCCACGGCGCAGAGTAGGCTGCCGATGGCGGCGCGCACTGCCGGCTCCGGGTGGTCCAGACGGGAGAACAGCTGCGGAAAGAGGGGTCAGAGGGAGAGGTCAGGCCGGGTCAGGGGGCGGTGAGGAAGGTCAAGGGTCAGGGTCAAGGGGCAGAGGACAAGGGTCAGGAATCAGGGTCACATGCCAGATGGAGGGCTTATGAGACGGGCCAAGGGTAAGGGGAGAGGACCTGGAAGTCGAGAGCAGTTCAACATCGCCTGAGAAGGAACTTTGCTAATTCATTACATTTCATGTCAGACTCGCGCGAATGAATGTAACGCGTTATCATGACCTACACAGTGCATATCAGTCATAGCCGACTGATGATGAATGATCCTTCCCTATGACCTGCGGTATGGCAATCCCCTTTCTGCAGTAGCTCCCCATCTGCAGCACTATTATGACGCTCCACGGTCCCTCACCTGCGGTATGATGGCCTTCCAGGGCCCGGCTGGCGTATCAGCCAGTCCCTCCACCAGCGACTCGCGGAGCTCAGCCGCGTGTTTGACGATCAGCCTCAGCAGCCGCAGGGCGGCCAGAGTGCTGCGCTCGCAGGCGCTCGGCTGGAGCCGCAGGAAGCGGAGGTAGCCGGCAGCGGCCAGGCCGAGGTGGCCGTAGACACGACGCTGCGCGGCCCGCCACAGAGCCAGCAGAGGCTCCACGCAGTCCGGAGATGGAGCGACGGCGGATAGCTGGGAGCGCGCCCACGCCGCCGAGGATACAATGTCCTCCTGACGGGGGAGAGGGAGGGTGGTCAGAGAGGGGCACTGTCTGCGTAGACACCCAATGACACCACATTCCCCTGAAGGAAATGGAGGAAGGGTAGGTCCGAGATGATGGCCGAACGAAAACACGGTTCTCAAAGCTATTGCACGCACAGAACAAGACCCATGGATAGATTGCGACGAAACAACGGCGAAGGCGCGAGACATCAATTCAAAGAGCGACCATAAAATGAATTAGATAAAACTTGTCTAAATTCTAAGCGATTACAATACGCTAGAAAGAAAAGTCTGCATTATGAACTGGTCATTTCATTGAGCGTCACACAAACCATAATGACGACATCGCTGAAATAATCAGCTAAACAAAAAAGAAGAATGCCGTCACGAAATAGTTCATTCAGCTATGTCGGCCAAGTCCCTTCTACCACCCGTCCTTCCCACCCGCGCTATCGCTCACCTCGATATCGTCCTCCTGGTCTAGACTCTCTGCCGAGACGTGACTCCTCTCCACGATATCAGTCACCCTGTCCACCAGCTCCGGGGCGGCAGCCGGCAGCAGCGCGCGGACCGCCTCCCTGCTCCCGGCGGCGTCCAGCTGCTCGGCACTGCGGCTCTGCGACTCCGTCACCGCCTGTTTTCCCCAGGTGTAACACCAAGCGGCCAGCTGGAACCAGGCTTTGGCGTCCTCAGGACACCGGTGGACGCCCGCCTCGAGGAGCCTCCCGATGGGGAGCTCCTGCGGGGGCACCACGCGGCTGTCCACACCACCGAGCTCGCCCGTCGGCGCGGCGGAGAGGTACCGCTCCAGGAGGGTAGGATCCGGTGAGACGGGGGTTCCTCCGTCAGCAGTAGACAACCAGCGGGCCAGGAGGAGGTCCGTGCGTGAGGTGATATCCCCGACCGGTGTGCCAAGCAGCGCCTCCGCCGCTGAATCTGGATCACCCAGGCCGTGCAGGAGTTTGGCAGCTTCTCGCCGCACCTCCGGCAGGGCGGCGCTCTCGGCGGGATCAGTCACCAGCCGGCGCAGGCGGGCAGCTAGGTCTGTGGCAGCGCCGTCCCCTTTCCCAACAGAGCGGCACAGTAGCAGTCGCGCCGCCGGCTCCGCGTCCCCGGAGCGGCGGAGCCTCTTCACAGCGGTGAGACGGATACGCGCGGCGGCCGGGTCGGTCGGTTGGACAGCTCCGAGCGTCTGCAGACACTGGCTCCAGTGAGTGAGCTGCAGCAGCGCCGGTGTGTCGAGGCTGCGAGCCCGCCAGCCCGGCTCGGCCAGCTCAGGTAGTGGTATGCGGTTGGCCGATGCACCACCGCGAACCTTCAGCAGTCGATGGAGGGTCTGTAGACTGAGCAGCGCTGCGGGCGCCACTGCAGGAGGGTGCTCCGTCGCGCCTTCGTGAACGACACGAGCCACTCGCTCTGTGGCCGCAGTCAGTCTCTCTCCGGCGGCCTTCCAGTGTTCCCCGCCGGCGCAGAGCGCTGCTGCTGCCGCCGCTGTCTCCAGCTGACACCCAACCACGGACGTCAGTCCCCCAGCGGCCGGTGGGGAGTCCACTGCCAGTGCCGCCGCCCCGCTGTAGTCACCGTCCGCGAACTTGGCCAATAGACGGATGTTGTCCAGATTATCCAGCACCTGGTCCGAGCAGGGCAGCTGGTGCTTCGTCATCGTCTCCCTCCAGGCGATGGCCTCGTCGTACCGTCCGACGGCCAGGTAGCTGTCCAGGACTCGGTCTCCGAGGGCTGATAGGAGCTCTTGATCCACCGCCTGCGCTGAGAGAGTCTCACCCGCCGTTCGCTCCAGTACGTACTCCTTCAGAGCGTCAGCAGCCTGGCCGTGCCTCCCGGCAGCCAGCAGCTCCGCCGCCTCCATCCAGCCATCCTCAGCTCCGGCCGGCTCAAGTCTCCTGAGACCGCGCACCAGCTGCACACTCCCCGCCGCCGCCGCGGCCAGCACCGCCGCGGCCAGCGCGCCCGGCGGCCGGCCGCGGGCGACCGCCAGAAGCGGCGCCACGGCCGCCAGCCCGCCGGCCGCCGGCAGACGAGCCAGCGCAGCCGGCGCGCGCAACAGGTGGCGCCGAGCGCGCAGCAGCCACTCGCGGCACGTGGCGGCGTTGGCGCGGAAAAACGAGCGCACCGCCTGCAGGGGGTGGGGGAAGGGAGAGTGGTCAGCGGGCACGTCGGCCAGTGTGCTTGGCAAAAACAAAACAGTTTTGGTCAGTGCGAGCAATCAAAGTTCGCGTATGGTAAAAACTGCAGCACGGAAACTGACAATCATGGATAATATTGATATCTAGATCGATTTATGATAAATCAAGATGTGTCACAAATTAGAGAAACGAAATGATCATCAAATGAAACGACGCCGACAACGATCAAAGAAACATAGATGTTTCTTCAACTTCTGCAACTTGTAGAATAACAAAAAGGACACCTCCGCAAAGTTCTCTGAGCTCCGGCACGTCCTCATCTCATTCGTAACAACAATATCTGTCTTATCCGGTTCACAGATCCCCACTGACATGACACTAAACCCATCTCTCCGCGGGAGCAGTCGCACACTCGCTCACCTTGCTAAAGACAGCCGGCATCAGCGCCGATCCCTCGCTGGCCAGGTAGATGCACTTGTCGAACGTCTCGAGGAAGGCGACCAGCCGCGCCAACCCGGATCCGTTGGACGCCACACACTCGCGGATTTTGTCGTCGAGCTCGGTCAGAGTCCTCTGTAGGCGGGCGGGGTGAGCGCGGTGGGGCAGGGCGTTACGAGTGGAGACTGAGTGGGTACGGTGAGAGGAAGCCATAGCACGGTGCCCGGGATAGGTACGACGCTGGCGATGGAGATGGATGTCATATATGGTTTGTAGGTCTACACAGCTGTCTACATACTGTGTTATTCGTAGCTCAGAATTTAGATCTCGTACATGCTGGGCTAGGCAAATAGCAAGAAGCTTGCTTTCGTCACTATTATGTAAATTCGGTCTAGTAAGTGTACATACATTCTACTATCAAACCTTCAGATCATGATGTATCGAACTGTTGATATAGGATTAAAAAACAACATATTTATCGTTCTGGAGATAGAATTGAACGTAAGTTTCCTTATCGCTCAGTTGCTCCGGTCACACGCAAGCCCCAAGACCACGCGGCTTCACCTAGCCAGCTCACCTCGGGTTTCTTATGCGGCGGCGTCTTGAGCCGGTTCTGAACGCAAAACTCTGCGGCCGACAGGTCGCACCAGAGTTTCAGAAGGTTGCCGCGAGCTGGTAGCATCCACGCGTCGTCGGCCTTGTGCGCGACCGAGGCGTCCTGGCAGGACCGGAACGCCTCTGGTACCCAGTCCAGTGGGGAAGAGCTGGAGGGGGGGACGGGGGGGGGGGGGTCAGATGACGAAGGTTCAGCTAGACACCATCCCAGTTAATCTTCAGTTCAATTATAGCATAGGTGTTAGCATGAGCACTGAGCAATCGGACATGAAAAGAACATATAGAAGTGGGCCCGCAATGTCACTGTTAAGCATAATGTCATAGATCTATCTCCTCTTCATCTTCATGTTATCGGGACAAAAGGCAAAAAGTCCTGCGGTAGGGCTCAATCTCGCCGAACACCAATATCTTATTGTGTCAACACCATTTCACAGTTTTCATAGCAAGCTCGCCTGAAAACTATGGACAAAGCTGAGAGAATAGCAATGTCTCAACAGCAAACAATTAATGTCAATAGCATATCTATCCCGCAGCCTGTAAAGAGCCTTCAGTCTAATGACCATTGGTCGCCTGAAGACGACGGCAACCCCTGCCATCGCCACCTCCCATTTCCTCCTCTGTTTTCACACCTGTCAGCGAGTCCGTCGACGAAGCGTCGCCAAGTGACGGGCCGCGCGGGAACGGCCACCTGCCGGGTGCGCAGGTGCCGTCGGGCGCGCACCACAGTCTGGCGGCCCAGCGTGACGTCGGTGGCCTGCGCGTGCAGCGCTGATAGAAGCTGCCGGTGAGAGAGGTGAGAAGGGACGTCAGAGAGGGACTTACGAGGAGACTACAGCCCACAGAAGGACATGGACATAATCGTGAGGTAACTTCAGAGTGACTGGGGAAAACTACTCAGTATAATCATTTCAAAATGCTAACATTCCTGAAATGCATATTTGTACATCCTTTCCACAACATTGAACAATGAACTTACGTACCGAAATGCTCTAAAATTCGGGATCGGCTCCCGTGACCCCATGTGACCTCACAAGACCGCGTTTCGTAGCTTCGCGGTAGCAAGTTACCATGCACTCTGGACCGTGACCTCGGATGACCTCACGTGATCGGGTTTCCTGACCTCATGTGACCTGAGGTGACCCTCTACATCGTGTTCCGGCCTTCAGATGATCCGTGCTTTTCGCTCCTCACCTGGTCTGGCGGCAGGCAGGTGAGAAGCGGCGCACCGTCCACCTCCAGCGGCCTCGGACCGTCCAGGCGGACAGCACACACCTCACAGAGCTGCTGACGCAGCGGCGCCGGTAGCTGCGGGGACAGGGGGCGATCAGAGTAGTTAGGGACGGAACACGGCTGCTGGGGGCTCCGCCGAGGGACACCGGCTACACGCAGGTGTTAGAGGCCGAACACGGGGCTCCGCCAAGTAGATACAAGAGCTCAGCACCGGCATTACAGCTCTATTTGTTCATCACACACCCCAGTAAGGCTTTAACTCTGATACCAGACCCGGCTTCTCTACACTTTCCAATTACCACAGCACCGTTCAACACTCCTTTTCCCATCTCCTTCCATCGTGCTCCTATCCCGGCCTTCACCACCTTCAGCACACTCCCCTCCTGATCTCCCTCTCATCCTCATCTACTCTCTCTCTCCCCATCCCTCAACCCCCTCCCCCTCACCGTGTCCCATCCGAGAGCCACCACCAGCCGCCGGCACGTCTCGGCGGCACAGCGCGCCAGCTGCCGGCTCGGCGAGCGCGCCCGCTCCGCCGCAGCAGCTGCCAGCTGCGCCAGCTCGCCGGAGCGCAGCAGCTGCTCGGTGTAGCCGCCGGCGGCAGCTGCCTCTGCCAGCTGGCCGGCCCACAGCAGCAGCAGCCGCTCCGTGTCGGACAGACCCTCCGGCTGCGGCGGGCACAAACACGGGACCGCGGTGGGAGCAGAATACGTCAACGGTGATGACAACAACTGGACAGCGGTGCAACACATAACATAACATGATGTGTCAAGTTGTGGATAGCACGACACTATCTAGGGTCTCACATATAACTAAAATGAATAACTGAATGACTGTCAGTAAAGGAAGCCACATGTTTCTAGACGAGAAAAATGATCATTAATAAAGCAAGAAACAAGTCGTGCTAAAGGTTCGATTCGGTATCTATGGACAATGCTACCCTTTCTCCCAAGTTGGAAACTGCACATCCTCCAATCATCATCATCAAACACTGACAGGAAAAATCATTGCGGCAACTCAGATAACAGTCAAGAAAAGATGAGAAAGGCGCAAAGGTGACAAGGAGATATAAATTGTACAACGGGTAGACAGATGATGATTTGGGGGTTTAGGGCGCCCGGACTGCTGTGGTCATCGGCGCACAGACCGAAAGGCCGACACACAGACCTGCGTCAGCAGCCGTGTGATGAGTGCCAGCAGTGTGGTGAGGTTGTGGCCGGTGGACGGCGCCACGGACGGCACCAGGGCCGGCGTGGTCCGCTCAGAGCGGGTCAGGCGACTGGTGCTCAGAAAGTGGCGGTGCCTGAAACACAGACGGCGAGCGGTGTCAAATGTCGTACCGTAGTGAGCAGGGGACGAGATGAGACAGACAATGATATGACGTCGATAAGTGCACACATAGTTAGGACAGTGCAGGTACTGTGAAACGTGTGAGCTGTGCAAATGACAATCCATTCGCACTATGTAGAATAGGAAGCGGTTAACGTATATTTTTCGTTTTTATGATGTTTTAACTGTGTTACGTGCAACGCGGAAAATGGCACGAGTTGATCCCGCCATCACTTCGTCAGATTCAATGACTGCTCAAAAGAATGTGTGCAGATCATGACCTCTCCGACTCGGCGTGTGCTCTATCATTCTTTCCCTCTAAAGCTCAACCCTCGAACATGTCGCAGTGAAGGTAGAGTCGCCGTCCCTCCCTTCCTAACCTGTCACAATGTGTGTAGAGCAGGCTCAGCGTCATATGTTTGATGAGCGGCTGGCTGGCCGCCACCCGACGATCGTCCGGACGCAGCGACACCGCCAGAAGGTCGACGATGCTCGGACTCAGAGCCCACAGGCCGATTATCGAGTTACGGGTGCTCGCTGCGGGCAGACATGGTTATAATATTGTTAGCAACACGAAATGAGGCATCAGACGGGTGTTAAATGGAGCGAAACAGACAGCAGGGTGGCATAATTCGTTGACAAATTCCAACAGAAGTGAAATGAATATCATCATCAGTTCTTATGGGAATTAGGTTCTGCTTAGCGATTTCCCTGCACGTACAGTCCACAGCAGAAGTAATGTGCGGTTTCAGTCATGGGTATGTTCTGCTTCTGAAGCTTAGGAACTGTTAACCAGACTACAATGAAACTTTGAATGTAGCTTATATGCATCGTCACCCTTGCAGCTGCAACTTTAGCTATTGACATCTTCTTTTCGATCACTCCGCATTAAACAATCGCCAGTCAAAGCCAACCGTTGAGATTGGTAAAACCCTACATTACTTTAGCGGTGGGCTGTACTTTCACTTATTTAGTCAGGAAGCTTTCGGGAGCAATTCACCTATCAGATACACCACCCCCATCATAAGAGGCATCACTACCCCTCCGGTGTCATCACCCAGCTCAAATGACGTCACCCCCATCATACCGAGCTCGGCCAGCGCCTGAAGACAGAAGGCCACCAGCTGGCGGCCGTCGTTTGGTCCGATGACGTCAGAGGTTCCCGGTGAGGTCTTAGAGGTGTCCTCAGGAGCAGCAGCGGTCGAGGCGGTCGATTCCAGGGCGGGATTGACCCCGGTGGCCGCTAGAAAACTCTCCTGAGCAGAGGGAAGGAGCGAATTAGACTGTTGTTGCTGTTGTCGATGATGTTGCAGTCATTGATGTCGATCTTGGTTTTTTGGGTTACTGAAGATATTTTGAAATCCATTCTCATATCAATTTCACGGTATAGTTCAAAGACTGGTAGCTGGTAAGAGGAAACACCTGAAATATTGCACCACATGTAACACAGTCTAGCAAACTTAGTTGGGGTTACTCAAGACTAGAAATTGAAAAACTCTTGAGTCCCGTGCTTCAAGTGCTGCTTCGCTGTATATGGGCCTGCGTCCCGTGTCCCCGCGCGCGCCACGTGCCACGTACGTGCAGGTCGGCCAGCACGTGCCGGTAGACGTCCTGCAGGAGCGGCACGTTCTTAAGTCCGAGCGCCGCGCGGTAGGTGGCCAGCACCGCCGAGCGCACCTGAAAAACGTACACGGGCGGTCGGGCAGGGTTAGATACACAGCCAGATGGGAGATATCGGCTCAGTAATTGGAAGGGAGGGACAGACTCTGAGGTAGAGGTGGGGGTCGACCCAGTTCGGGTATAGGAGCCAGTTGGGACCCGAGGAGCCGGGGGGGGGGGGGGGGAAGCTGTTCAGTTGTTCAATCAGACGCTGGATGCCCAGCTCTGCAACCATGACCAAACGCAGGTAAGTTACAGTGCACGTCAACAGCTGCAGTGCAATGCAGTGCAGTTGCACTGCACGGTGGGCCATAAATGGCCAGAGTGAGCAGTACTCAACAGGTCCCTATTCATAGATGCATTCGAAGTTATCACATAAGCATAATTTCACTACAAAGCTTCAGCCTCGACGCTGCAAGGTAAACGAATCTGAATGATTCACTCTCATCAATAATCCACGCCCACGTGACACAGGTTCATAAGGTATGCGGCGTTGATGCAGGCTACTGTTTTCCCCTGCTGTCCAGCTGATCTGAGGAGCCCAGATCACTGACCGGTGCTCAGTAGAGGTCACTGACCTGCTCAGAGTAGGAGAGTCTCAGCGGTCTCAGCGGCGAGTTACGACCAAACAGCTGGTCCATCAGGTCTGACGGCAGAACCGTGCCGCCGTGGCGCAGCATCTGTCGGCAGGGGTCCGAGGTCAGGTTATAGGTCAGAGGGCGCAGCTAAGGTCACAGGTCAAGACAGAGGCCACAGCTGAAGGGGCATATAGTCCTCCTAGACCCATGAGTACAGTTCGTTTGACGCATCTTATACATAGGCTACAGGTGCCTTACGGTCAACTGATAAGCAATTGATCCGTGACTTGACTCATCAGATCTCAGGTTAGGTCCTCTATCAACTCCCCACTAGGACCTGATCAAAGGCCTAGTTGATGTTCAATGTAACCTCAGGTCCGTTCCTGGGCCTAATACCAAGGCAGGTCCCCGCCATCTAACCGATTCCAGCTCCCATCTACAGCACTCTCAGTCTCTAAAGCTGACATATTGCTCACAGGAACCACCGGAGCAGTCCTCAGTCCCGGCCAGCAGGCCGGGTCGGCTATCGGACCTCACTCACCGTCTCCAGAAGTCTACAGACGGCCACCAGACTGAGGTCGGAGAGGTGCGCCACTTCCGGCCACACCTGCGTCACAAACGACAACAGGTACTGCACGTCGGCGCCCAGACGCTGGCCGAGCAGGGTGACCAGATGACCCAGCGCCGCGCAACCTGGGGGCACAGCAGCACGGGAGTATGTCAAGGAAGGGTACTTTGAGGAGAGCGGCGCCCCCGGTACGTCCTGCTGACGGGCCCGGATCGGATGGAGTCTGTCTGGTGGCGGTCCTAGTGGCCCACTTTAGGGACACTCCGGAGCAGGGGGCAATGGTGCGATACCATTAGATGGCGGAAGACCCTACCTATCCCTCCCAGATGACCCTCCCGAGATGACTCCTCCCTTCTACATGACCCCCCCCCCCCCCCATACCACCATCACCCACCCCTGAAGAGACGCCCGTCATCTCACAGCACCGGCCACGTCACTGCCACATCAATTATGCTGTTTGCAAAGGTTCATGTGATCTTTGTGACAATCAACTTACGATATACAATAGATAAGTGAAATAAAAATGTGACAGATTTAATAACAATATACGAAACGCAAAAAGAATTATTGGAAAGCATGTAAAATAAATTTATATGCATCCGTTATGCAGCACATCATCATCATCATCATATTTCCAAATTTAAAAATTTCACATACCAAAATTGCACATGAGCGGATATTCACTTCGCGTTACTGGCGGAATTGGTAAGGAGACTTTTGGCTCAAATAGCCGCAGCCGGTGGTTTTCTGTCCGTAACTGACCCCTGATGGTAACCCATACAACCTGACCGGAGCTGTAGCGTAACTTGCATGTTTTACACGATATCAGCAGGAACAACTGGTCGCCAGTCCCACTCGCCCCGAGTACGGATCGCTAATTGACCACATGGTTGTGGGATCGTCGGATAAGGTCACCTGCCTCCGAGTTGTACCCAGCAGCTGGAGTGACCGCCAACCGCTGCTCACCCAAACACCGGTCAGAAAACAGTACAACAGAGCGGCTGAAATCCCCGTCCCCTCCACAAGATGTTTGACGGAATTCGGCCAAAGCGTGGCCTCAGATCGGGAAAACAAGATGCCGTAGTTTGGAAGCACATCATGCAGACGTGGGGAAGATCTAACAGCGAGAGGGGGTCCGGAATGGTGGATGGCCTGGAGACGGGTGAGCCGGCTGCCGCCCAGCCTGTCCCGTGGTCGGCAGTGCACCCAAGGTCAGTCCCGCGACCCTACGTCAACTGTCGACAGCCTTTGGCGAATACCAAACGGCCAACGCGTATGGAGTTGATGAATACCTTTGGGATGCTGCGCATGACTTAGACTGGTAACGGGACTGCACCTGCTAGAATTATGTAGGGAATTCGTTAATTGTTGTCGGTATCATTAGGCTCTGTGATGCCACAATCGGGCAACTGTAAAAAAACGAAAATATAACAAAAGAAATTAAAAAAATGAAAAATAACAAGCAAGCTGCAGGAGCTCCTAAAAAATATGCAGAAAAAAATGCTCATCTTTCCACATTGACAAGGGTTGAATGTGATAAGACACAGTGCCACCACTTATACAGACAGGTCATAACACTGTGCGGATTAATGAAGGGTGCCAGACTGTCCGCTCACGTACCCAAAACGCTATTCTTTAGCCATTTTCGGTTATACAGCATACACGTATGAAATCCACATGTATGAAACTTATGTGAAATGAAATTTCACAACTATGAAACTTTTCACTAAACTTAATGAATGCCGCTTAGTAAAAGCTATTGTGAGTGCCGTTAGCTTCAGCCTCCATCCTCCCCCCCCCCCCCATTTAAAAGTTCACAGTTTTCAAAACTTCAGTACTTCCAGCCACTCAATAACAACTCTCTGTGGCCTGTGCTGTATGACTGGATTATGTAAAACCATGGGCTAGACACGTGCAAGTAAAACTGTTTCGGCTCTGAACATTAGCAGAACCAGTAAAGCCAGCACAGACAACCATGTCAGTGACTACTGGAAAGGCAGAGTCACGAACGTCACGCACTCGGGCGGCCTCGGAGAGTACTTTTTGTCCATGTCCCTCCATTACGCTGTCAAACTTTACAGTCCACACCAGCCCTCGACGATCAGATGCGATCGCTCCGACATGTTGGAGTGCCCTGTCGCGCTCGATAGGCCTAATGTCTCAAGCACTGATTCAGTAAGCTTGTGTAACCAAGCTTCATCGCCTGACTCCAGTAGATCGGTGATATGATTTACTGAGAAGTGAGAATCAATTAACTGGCCGACAAAGACAAAAAGCCGATGAAGGATAAACGCATTGGGGTTGAAGGAGACAAGCCAGGTTTTTGTAGATGATTTTTACTCATCCACAAAAACCTGGCTTGTAACTTGGAATGAAGATTGATAACGATGATGTTAATGTTGATGATGACGATGATGCTGATGATGACCGGGAGTGCTCTGCGCGGCACACTGACCTGTGGTGACCAGGAGGTCCGAATGTTGGCAGCGTCCCACCGATAGGAGGCACTCGGCAATCACTCGCAGATGGGCCGCGCACGTGCTGCTGTCCTTTTCCGAGTCACCGGCCTCCGCGCGGGCCACCATCACAGAAGAGTACACCCTGGGGGCACAGCGTACAGCACAGTAAAAAAAAAAATGAAGCACGAGACAATTTTTTAAAGGATTTGGGACAACGACTAGCGATTTCTCAACCTAAACACAATTGAAAAAAAATATTGTAGGTTGTGAAGAAAAGCACCGAGCAACTCGTTACCAGCCTGAGCCGGCTCGAACGGCTGATCTGAAAATACCATTCATGATTCAACCATCAATTTCCGTTCCGTATCCTAATCAATTTCAGATAAAGCTATGCCTTTCAAAAGCAGATTCTTTATGCCAGCTCGGCGCTGATTTTGTCCATTTTGGGCGAGCTAGCTACCTGTGAATGGCGAACGCGCCATGTGCTTTATGGCCACCTTTAGATGTTTCGTTGAATGCCCCTGAGATGTTTATTATTCCTCAGCGGTTTACCAGTTGTCTGATAAACAAATGGAAGAGGCTCCTTTTCAAATAACAGGTTTGTCGCACGTCTTTTTCGGCTACCCTCGTCGGAGGTTTACGGCACTGTGAGCAACTCGGCAGACGGAAGAATCATCAATCAGCCCAAACTGAGGAGCCTTGACCAAGCCTATATTGTCTGAGGCGAAAACGCTTGGTTTTATGGTGGGTGTCATGGCTCAGAAACGTGACCGGTTTGACAAGCAGTTATAGAGGACCGGGATTCTCGCGACGACAGCCGTTTGGCACCCCAGACAGAAAAAAAAACGGTAGAAAAGGCAGACAGTGAAAAAGGGGAACAGACGTGTCCTGACCAAAACGCAAATAAGGGCCTACATCGGGAGTGCGAGAAGGTGCTACACTAATAATGGCAAAGGAGTAGGAAAGCCGTTTATGAGAGTGCATTGAGAAAAGCGGACAAGAGATGTTTCGACACCACGTAATGAACTTCTACATGGAGTTGAGACTTCCTTTTGAAAATGCAGAACTCCTCTAAAGGGTCTGTCCCACATGAAAAAAGTCAATCAGCTATCATGTACTATGCCTATTGCCTACATTGAAAACCATCATTAAGGAATATTTCCTATTTTAACCAAAATTGTCTACCAGTTTTGAAAAAAACGTTTTTACGACTTGCCTGACGAAAAGCAGCCTCGGCACCCCGTTTATGCCTATCAGCAATTCTTGTTGTTTACCTATGGACTATGGACTATTGAACTGATAGCAATATTCATACCCGTGACCGTGAGACGCCTGTTGGGGGCGACAAACGTGCGAGACTTATAAAACTTCCATCCGCTCCAGAAATATCGACGGGAAAGCATGGCTATTGCCTGCCTTTAAACTTCCGGACACCCTGTGACCACCGATGGATACTGCTGGGATGAAAGTTGTACTAACCGCTGCTTCCATCAGCCGCCACCCGTGACCGGTGACGCTGGCTGACCTTGGCCACACATCGATTATACCACTGTCGGCTGACTGACCGGCACAGTGAAGGACCGGGGCATGTCAGAGTGGCAGCCCCGCCGTATCGAATGATCTCTAAAATACTGTTCCTCGTGGCTGTTCCTCACACATTCACCGGTATAGAAGCTGGAAGGGATCGGGTTAGTCACCTTTCGTTATGCGGTCAGATCATCTCATATCACCTATCGTCATGTCCTATCGTCGTCGATACCTATCGTCGATCAGAGATGATGAGGGTTGTAAACAGATAGAACACGGCGCCAGCCATGTAATCAACAAAACACCGGTCTCTGAATGACACAGGTGACCTTGTGACAAGGTCAACGTTCAGAGCATTCATAAATATGGACAATACATTTTTGAACGATCATCAAATACACTCGCGAAAATGCGACCCATTTCAATAACCACAGCAGTTCTAGTCAATTGTGACGGTGAATATTTGTCTTCTGCTGCTCTTTCCCCACAATCACCACGACTCCACGTCATCAACTGTGTTGGGCAGCTGCCTGTTGCGGATCTCGGGCAGCCGGTAGCCGGCCACGGCAGCCAGCAGGGCGCACGCAGCGAACACAGCCCAGTAAAAGTCTCCGGCGGTTGTGATTACCGGCGGCGCCAGCACGGCGCCCAGCCGCGTGCACGTGGCGCCCACACCCAGTCCTATGCTGCGCAGAGTCGTCGGGAAGAGTTCGGTTGAGTACAGGTTCTGCATTTTCTCTCCGACCGAGATGGCCAGTCGCGCGACCATGGCGAGTGTCAGCCGCTCCCAGTGTCGATCGACTGGTAGGGCCAGCAGTGCCGCGCACGGCAGAGCCGTCAACAGGCTGGCCACTATCACAATCGGCCGGCGCCCCAGGCGACATTCGAGCAGCAGCGCACAGCCGATGGCCAGCAGGCCGACCCCACCAGAGAGCAGTAGCGCCGTGTACGCGCCACCGCCCAGGTGAGGCGCATCCTCGGCGATCCCGTAGGATATCAAGCCGTCCACGAGTAGGCACCAGAAGCACGCCAGGCTGATGGTGCGCATCCGCGGCGTGGCGAACAGCTGCCGGAAGTCGCCGCACGCGGCCGCGCAGCAGTTGCGCCACGTCTTGGCGGACCGTTCGCCACCGAGGAGCAGGTGCTCTGCTTTCTGACAAACGGCGAGCTGGTGCAATAGATCACCCCGGTCCGGCGCGGGCCGGCCGTTCCACTTCGCGATCGTCTCCAGCACGTCAGCAGCCTCGTCCAGCCGACCGCGACTCAGCAGCCAGCGCGGTGACTCGGGCAGCGAGCGCAGCAGCAGCGGCAGCAGCAGTGCCGGCACCGAGAGCAGCAGCTGCAGCTCGCGCCACGTGCGCGTCACCAGGGCGGCCAGCGCCGTCAGGATGAGCCCGACGTCGAACGGCAGCTGGTAGAGGATGCCGTACATGCCGCGGGTCGGCGGGCCGACCGTCTCCATGCTCAGCACTAGCAGACAGACAAACGTGCCCGGCAGCAGAAGACCGAGCAGCGCTCGCAGCACTAAGAATGACTCTATCGACGACGCGCTATTTACAGCCATACTGGCCATCGGTATCACCACACTGCAACGCCAGGCGACGGCGCGCCGGCCAAAAAGGTCACTGAGCACTCCTGTCAGAAGATAGCCGACCAGCACCGACAGCATGAACGTGAACTGCACGGTGGTAACGAGCGGCTCGCGCTCGCACACCAGCTCCCACTCAACGACCACAGTCTGGCCGTACCGATCTCGGTCAAAGACGAACTGCTCGCAGGGCATGGCCCCGCTGGCATTCGCCTCTTCTCCGCCGGCGAAGGTGAGACTGGCGTTGAACATGAAGCACGAGTCCTGGCCGTCGGCAGTGACCTCGGTGGAGATGAGGGCGTCAGGCAGCGTGGCGCAGTGGAACGGCGGCGTGGCTGTTTGTACCACGGCCACCAGACTGTGTGCGCCCATCAGCAGAGAGGCCAGTGAGACGCGCGCCAGTGTGCGCCGCTGCCACGGGCCTTCGTCACCGGCCACGCGCGACAGCAGAGTCTCGAACGACGCATCGTCTGTCGTGGCAGCGGCAGCAGCCCCGTATGCCATGACTCGTCCAGTCTCCGACCTGCGCACTACACGCCGCACGGTATCGGAGCCGGCCCGGGCGTCCACACCGCCGGCCGAGCCGCCGACTGCGCCGCTCGGAGCACCGAACGCCTCTGGTCCGTCGTCAGAGGGAGCTGAGCGCGATATGATATGACCCTCCGCGGCGCTCTACCGTGCCTAGCCTGAGTACGGCGGCGCGAGGACACCGGCTTTCACGATTCACCTGTACGTACAGGGTGTCCCATAAGTTCCTTCTCACCTAAATTTTTCTTTTAGAGGCTCTCTTATTTAAAGCCACGCTTAATTTATTTTGTAACTGAGCTTTTGGGGTTGCCATGGCAACTGTGAATGTGCTCCACGGTAACTAATTCGTCTAGACAAAATATTTTTTGCCAGAGTTCACTTCCTGTGGAGACGGCTTACGCCGCAACATAGAGGTCTCCGATACGGGAACGTCTCGGTATTTAGTCCGCACTGGGCCATTCTCAACGGCTGAGGGTGATTGAGACCATCCAGTATGTAGCCTTAATGTCTGTCGCTAACTGGACGCACAGTCAACAAGTGACGTCGATGATTTGTCGGGAGTCAATCGCTGCAAGTTTATGCTTTTTTTTTTTGTCAGCTTTCACGAGTGAGCCATGTGGCCAAAACTGTGTGGCGCTAAAATGGCCGTCAAAAGGGTCTTAGCGTTAGAAAATTGGTAAACATGCTTTTCAGGATGCATTACCAGCTGTCTAAGAGTATCATTTCAGGGTACCTAACTCAAGGTGACTTAAGCTCTACTTACCGGAGGGCTCAAAACAGTCAAAAACGTCTTAAAATGGCCAAACATGTGTTTCGTTATGCCTGAGGCTAACAAAACTGGAGGGCCGATGACATCAATGTGGTCATCTGGACTACCTAGTCCGTGCTCGAGATAAAACACCCGTCCAAATCCCAAAACGGTCCCATATGGGCGACGGAAAAGGCCTTTGTGTCATCCCGCTTTATTCCTATACAAAAGGCCATGGTCACGGTAATGTGGGGTAATATGCGTCCAGACACTGATCACGTTGCGATTGATACTCCAGAAACAGTCTTGGGACGCAGAATGCTTCTCCAAGAAGATCTAGGAGGAGTTTCAGCTTTCTAGCTTAACTCGAACCGCAAGTATGACCACATTTTTTGAGGAGAAAATGGCATCCGGGAGGTCGTAGGCCCATCTTCAAGCAAGACAGTGCATCAGTGCACAGGTCAAGCAAAGCTTAGAAGCAGTGCCAGGAGACTGTGATAGGCGTCTGTGGCAAGTTCACATCCCAGGCAACTCATCGGATCCAAATTTCATAAAAATGTGTTGGGAATATTGAAATCGAGGCTCGTCGAAGCGAAGCGGTGTTCCAGCATTGAGGAGCTCACGGCCCATGCCAAGTCAGTCTGGGCTAACTTCAAGCCTGCTATGCTGCCAAACATGCCGGTTGGCATGTCGCAGCATGTATTCATGTGTTTGCCTATGAAATGGGGAGCACATTGAGGGATTATAAACA